ATTGAGGAGGAGGAAGATGGCATGGGGGGACAACCTTCAGAAGCGAAGAAGCGCCGAACCGAGGTGCGTGACATCCGTGATCGTTTTGAGAAGCTGATTTCAGATGCATTGGATGTTCAATATTGTTTCATTTGTGGTGGAAGACATGGCATTGACGAATGTACTACACCAGATGATGAGAACATGAAGGACACCATATGGCGCATGAGGTTGATCATGGATCAGAAGTCCAAATCCCCATCATCATCCGAAAGATCCAAAGCTGCAACCAGAGGCAGAAAAGACAAGCTCCCAAAGAACGTCATGCCACGAGGAAAGCGTTGGGGAAGAACCAGATTCACTGAGAAAGAGGAAGTGACCAAGTGCTTCTACAGTCAGTCAGCCTTTATGTACGACATTGGTGATCGTGAAGAAGGAGGACAATACTTAGTGAATGGTGTCGAAGTCAACCCAATTAGCCGAGGTGTGAAGAATCGTCATGAGCTTGACTTGCTGATTGAGCGTGCGGCTGAGGAATCCCCACCTGTTTTGCCGACCATTGAAGAGCTGAACGCTTGGAACCCCCTTGATCATGATGCTTATGTAAAATGGCTTACTGAAGAAAGAAAACAACATGGAAACAACTGGAATTTCAAGTACATCCAACCATTCACACACGGCCACAACATCGGTAAACTTCAACTTGCCCGCATCAACGGAGAAGAATATCTTGGAATGGGCTGGTGCAAAGTGCATCGATATGGCGAGAATGAGTGGATGGGCAACAAGTGGGAAAATCCGCCATGGATAGTCGAATTGTCAAAAAGGTTCAATGCAGCGCTACGCCACTCCGTGGGTTGCGTCAGAGACAATCGAAATCACCGTGGACTACCATGCGACGAGGCAGGTTGGGTCAATGTTGAGTCGATCTTGAAGTACGATGCCATTTGGAAAGACCAACATACTTTGGCTGGAACGGCCTACGTCAACTACCCGATACTTGTTGAGAGATGGAACAACTTCCAGAGAGTGATCTTCACTGAGTACAAGCAAACGAAGAGAATCCGAGCACAAGTGCTAGGACTCAAGGTCACGAAAGGTGAGTTGGAACACATCATGAACAACTTCAATGATGGATTGACCTCTAGACTTGATCGACAAACACTGAGGATGGAGATCGGCACAGCAGATCGAGAGATTTGGCTTTGGCCGGTGGCAATCCGTGCCCCTATGGCGCATTCAAGAGTTCAAGGCGGTGTGCACATTGAAGACAAGAAGACTTCATATCAGATGAACCCTGGAGTAGGATACACTCTTGGAGGAGGATTTCATTGCACCACATTTGACAACATCGCTCAAATCTTCAGAGAAGGACTACGTCCAGGAGGAGGAGGCGACCGCATCAATACGTTCTTCGTGCCATTCGCGCCGTGGGATGTGAGAAGTCAAATGGTGCTGAGATTCAGGAAGATTGATCAAACTGATCTTGTCTACATCTACATCACGTATGATTCCATCGCCAAGTTCTCCCCTCGATTATCAGCAGACGGACACATTTTGGTCCAAGAAACAATTCCATTCGAATCATTCGACGCGGTTTGGTATTACGACTGGAGAGAAAAGGACTATTACCGTCTCATGATCACGAAGGGAAGAGATCAACTTGTTCTTTCTGTGCAAGGCGCGAAGAGGGTGGCCACCATTGAACGATTTGACAAGCTCATTGGAAACATTGTGCCTGAAGAATCATCACCCGATCTAGACGAACTTCGAAAACTTGTCGATATCAGGACCGGTCACTTCAGTCATACTCACAGATTGTTCCCTGGACATCCGGATTGGAATGATGCAATTTCATTATTGGCAGTCACTCATCATCCTAGCAAAGAGGACCATCGACTATGCCCCGCATGTCTGATGGAGACCCCTGCGCCATTATCGATTTGTGTGATGTGCAAAGGATTTTTGGTGAGTCATGGATGGAGGAAACGAATCAAGATCACCGTGGCTACAGTACCAAAGGCCGAATCACATCATCGAGAAGAAGATCTCAAAGACCATGTCAAGAAAGCATGGGAGGAGGTGAAGATCGATTTGACAGGTGATGATGATGACGACGAGGTGATGCCAGATGATGATGATGTCACCATGAAGAGTCCAGAACAAGAGACTCAACCAGAAGAAGGAGATGATGATCAAGCCTCGAAGAAGGGCGACATCAATGATGAGAAAAGAGACTTCAGAGAAGAAGATGAGGTCGACAAATTTCTCAATCAAGAGGGAAAACCGACCGATGAGAATGATGATGAAGAGAAAGCGGTCGATGAAATCAACATTGAAGAGTACGAGGCTGGAGAAGCTCGTGATGCAGTGATTGAGTACCCCAAGTGGATGCAACGGATTGAGTTTGGATCAAAGGTCCTGCCGATCGAACCTTGCACAATTGGAGATGCTCAGCCAGAATTCATCAAGATCCTCCTGTTGCAGATTGGATTACATATCGTCAGGATCTACAGACTATTCCAACGGAACTTCTGTGGAGACATCGAGACGGCATGGAAACATTTTCAACAGAACCAGAAATTCAGGATGGACCTGGACTCAAGGACACCTTACCTGGGAGAGGATGAAAATGGTGAACTCATTGAACCAACTGCACAACAGATGAAAGAGCTCTACAAAGAGATCGGCCGACCAAATCAAAAGGACGACATCGGAGAAGAGGGATTCGTCAATGCATACTATGGGGCGGTGGTACTCAAAAGACTTCTCATATATACCCTTGAATGTGGCTACACGTATGATGACTTGCAAAACATATTCTTTGATGAGGAGATGGAGAAGCTGTCGAAACGTGACACCACAATGGATGAGATGAGAAAGACCACAGCGGCCCGCGACGCCCTTGACCGACAAGACGTCATGGTCAGAAGAATCATTGCAGGTGCATATAGGGTAAATGCTGTTTATTTCTTCAGGAACGTTGACTTTCAGGACACAATCACACTGAATCCAGTTGACATTGTGTGTGCTCTTCGTCCACCACTTCGAAGAATATCACTTTTACACCTGATCCTTCAGAATGGCCGACAATTGCCGCGACCTCTACTCCAAAAGCTATATGATGCGATCGATGACTACAATCACATCAAGCAACGGGAAGATCAACGACCAAGGTGGGGCATCCACTTGTCTGAAGCTCACATACTTGCGATTGCTGATACCCCGACTCCTGCTGATCGTGAACGTACCAATCCAGCCGCTGGCAAATCGAAAGCAGCCCCGAAAGCTGCACCAGCACTGGGAAGAGTGTCGAAAGCGAAAGCATCATCGTCAGCGACCTGGAGAACAGTTGAAACCGCTCCTCAGCCAAAACAAGCTCCAGTGACCCCGCCAAAGAAGGGTGGAAAGGACCAAGGGAAAGGTGGAAGATCTTATTCACACCGTGGCGGAGACTGGAACCATCAGGGATACTATGGATGGGGAAATAGATGATTAAGCGATCTGACCTCTGCATAGGTCCCGATTGAACCTGGCGATGCGAGGATGCAATCATTGCTCGAGATTTACCTCTACTTCATTTTGAATGATTTCTGAGAGGACTCTGAGCCGGCTAATTTAGAACCACACATTTTTTTTTGAACATCATTGCATGAAACGCTGAGTTTCTACAGCGGTCTACGTCTCAACCGACGAAGGGACGGGAAGGTAAACTTCTAGTTCCATAGTCAACTTTGTGTTTTGATTTTTTTTAATTCACATGCTTGAGTGGGATTCCATGATGGCTACGCCACATTGGATGAACCTCAACGCTAGACACCGACTACGTCGTGTCTACATGCACGTGAACAGAACCTTTATCTTTTGGTAGAGATTGTAGCAAGCCGCTATGTAGATGTGAAGTTCTGAACGGACTTTAACTCTCCATAATTAAATAAATGAACAGCTGCAGATCTAGTGGAACAATTTAAAGGACACTCCTTTGCGCGTGGCCGACGAAGTTGGCCATGCGTGGGGGGTGCGAATGGAGTGTAGGCTACGGACTATCACGCACTCCTATGTATTTCAACTCCTTATTGTCCACCGCCAAGGGATGCATCGAATTGCACCTTTGGCTCAAGATCACTGCAAGCACCAGAAGGAAAATATAGCCATGCTGAAGCCGCAACTCCTGTGCCGTCGTCACTGAACGCAACTAAACATCAGAACATAATCGGGGAGATAACCTCCGATTCACATACATATATATATATATATATATATATACATACAAATGTATGTCTATATATACCCATGATATAATATATGTACATATATATATTTATACATATACAAATATATATATATATACATATACAAATATATATATATACACATACATATGCAAATATATATATATATAAACATACATACACTTATATATACATATACGCACAGACATCAGACATATATATATATATATATTACATATATATATATATATATGTATATATACACACACACACGCAGTACCACACCCCCACCACACCACGGGGGGGAGGGGACAACACCACATCCCCACCACACCACACACAGGGGGAGGAGGGGGACAGTACTATGGCTGACCCATGACCATGTCCGGGGGGGAGGGGGGTTGGAACGCAGGACCATATATACTAATAGTATCTAATAGTATACGTATATAATTATACAGATATGTGTGTACATATGTGGAGGACATGGAGGCACATGTGTATGAGCACTGCTAAGACAGGACAAGTAGGCTGGCTCGGCCACTTCCTGTCAGATGATTGCAGGAGACCAGATGTACCAAGAAATCTCCATGGCAGCAACATACACCAAGGACAACGTAACCCGACGTAGGTACACACGTAGATACAACACGGAGTACGACATGGTACAACAATCCAATGATAGCGGTTGTGAGATGATGTGATAGCTTACAGCCATGATCAGCTATGCAACCATATGCAACCCGCTTGGCCAGCATGAGCTGCACAAATGGGGCTACACCACTTCACATGGCTGCTGAAGGCGCTAATGGCAAGATGCTTGGCTGCAGGTGGACAGTTGGAAGATGTTGGAGAAAGCTATGGGAATTTGTAGTGGCACCATGATGGCATGTGGCACCTTTGTGCCAGCTACGTTTTGGCAAATCTGTATCTGGAAGGTCTTAAAGCGCTGCTTTTGGACCAGTTGAGCATCGTATCCCTCAAAATGCATGCAAAAGGGATGATTTGGTCAAGTCTTGGCAAACACTTTCTCTCAGTTTGGGGTGGTCTGGTACTGTGGTCAACCCTTGGGCCAGGATTTGCTTAGCCCTTTTGACAGCTCGGGCAGATCCAAGTGTTGCAGATGAGCGGGGGCTGTCCCCAGCAGCACTGGCTTCAAACAATGAGGCCACTCACTTGCAGCATTGATCCAAAGTTCAGATTATGGGCTTTTGCAATGCTTCAACACTTGTCAGCTTTCAAATTCATAGGGTTTCCGCAGTTCCCGGGGTCCCATCACATGACTTGTTTATTGATGTGCCAGGCGCTGTGGCCACTGTTCTCAGCGGCTGGATGCGAGCGGGTGCAGTGACATGGCACGCTTTTGTGCAAAATTTGGCACAGAGAGAGAGAGAGAGATAGACTTGCTTGTGTTTGACTCGACTCACGCCATCATGAAGTTCATGAAGGCAAACTAGTTCAGTCACCAGTAAGATTCGCACACATGTTGCCAAACTGCAATGATGTATGCCAATATTTTTGCACATCGTCGAGAGGCCTGCTGTGGCAATGGGAAACATGCAAAGAATGCAAAGAATTGAAAGGATTTGCAAGGGACGTTTTCCACTGAGGGATTGATTTGCCAGAGCCCCGAGGCCATATCCAATGGCTGCTGCGACTCTACACTCAACCTCGCCGGAGCCAAACGGTCTCTCATTAGATGACTTTCTGGAGATTGGTACTTGTAGGAAGATGTAGGAAGCATACAAGACCATACAAGAACCTGCACATTGCTCAGCTTCTTGGCATCACATTGCCCAGATTTTGCAGCATCACGCACCGGCACCTCAGCCTTCAGGACACAACTGCGTGCTCCACGTGGTGCTCTCAGCATTGATCATGTGTCGTGACTTACCGCACTGCAAGCATTGATGCTATGGTTTCTGAATGTGAGACTTCGATTCATAGCAATTCACAAGGCGGCCCAGCTCAGCCACCAGCACTGCACAGCGGGGGATCCTTGGTGATAAATCTTGATGATTTTGCTGTTGCCAGATGTTTGTTTGATTTTGTGGATATTGATTTCGCTGGAGTCAAACACAACTCAGCAGAGATGTTCAGAGCCTCCATGTGCCGGGACCCTGCCCAGGACAGTGCGGCCACAAGTGAATCCAATTGATATTCTTGGTGCTGAAGAGATAAGCCTCGCATCTGCACCCAACTCCTCGCGCTTCCAAGTGCTCGGCCTATAGTTTCACTGTAGTTTCGACAATGCTTCGGCCTGAACAGCGGGCCAACTTTGGCACGACATGGCAAGACGTTGCGATCGGTGCGAGAAAAGCCATGGCTGCCATTGGCCGGAGTCGACTGCGGTGCATGGGGTGCCGATGGGTATCGATGGGTGTCCTAACAGGTTGCAGAATACTTCACTTTCAGCCTGAGGCATGGCAGCTGGTCATCAGTGCAGCTGGGAGCTTACATAGGAACGGGCTGAAACGTTGTCGCAAAAAAAATCTGGAAAAACAAGACCTACGGCCTATGATCATTAATGATTATTACATAATATATTAATATACATACATCGTATAGGAAAATACCGCAGATATTCACACGATTTCATTGTCATAAGTGACGATAGAGGTAAGTTTCCTTGCGATCTTTCTGGCAAAGCTCAGCAGCACAGGCTCCGTGCACAGCAAGTGAAAACAGCCGATTCTTCGAATGGCTTGGCTTTCTGCCGGAGTTCCCAAATCGATCTGATCGAAGGCCGCTTGGCTTTTGTCACCGGCAGCTTTCTCTGAAACACAAATGCAATTTTTGCACACGAAATGAAAGACATGAAAGGAACATGAATGAAATATAATGAAATGATATAAGATATGATGGAGAGAGAGATATAAGATTGATGCAATGTCAAAAGCCTCCATCTTTGTATGAATATTATGACGTTTGCGGGGCGGATTTGGGAACATCAACGCTAGCATTCCTAGCGCAGACTCGTCGTACATCTTCATGTCCAGATGAAGCGTGGCCTGAGCCACGCCAAATCCCAGAAGAGGTGTCTCACTGGTGCGCTGACAGAGCGGGCACACATAGGGTGAATATAGGCATAATATAGGTGACAAGTTTGGAATTGCATGCAAGGTAGCTTGAGAAAGCCTTGAGACTTGCGGCAGCTGCTTTGTAATGGAGCATGCAAACACTGTGCTGTGCAAAGAATGTTGGTGCACCTCGACGATACCTTGAAGGGTCGCGCCTGTTCGAGCGCAACGCTCGCTTGCGATATGGCCAGATGTGGCAGGAGATGAACGCGAAGTTCAAGTGTTTCGACAGTCATTCGGTGTATATACACTTTCCATCGCTTTGACTGCTTGCCGGACACTTGCAAAGTCGCCGGCATTGTGAGCACCAGGGGCAGCGGCACAATGGAGTCAGGTTTGCAATGACCAAACTCACCTATGAATACCTATGAGGAGTCTATTGAAACTACTTCCTGATCTTACTGTAACGTTCAGTTGAGTTTGAGCATGAAACACGATGACACGATACAACACATTTCATATCATTTCATTAAAGATCCATCAGGATTCACAAGAGTATATCTATAAATGTATACATATTACAAATGCATACAAAATGCCATCAGTTTGCTGACACCGTGCCGTGATCCCAATGTTTTCTGGTCATTCGGCAGGGACTTCCAGGAGCCACTCGTCCATAAGACGATCCAGTTTCTGCCAAGTCCTTGGAGAGCCATCCTGCCATGTTGGCTCCAATGAATCGGTGCTGGACCACTCTGACTATGCAATCTATGCAAATCTACGCATATTGTATTGCCATCAAATAGCCATCAAATAGCCATCAAATAGCCATCTATGACATAATGTGACATAATGTGACATTTCAGGTGATGCATGGTGATGCTTTGAGGCTGTATGTTTGGTGTTTTGGACCAGTCTGGATGGCTCATTATGGATGCCTAGCACTTATTTAAGCACTGCAGCAAACTGATATGCAACAAGCTCGGGCCAGACATTTGCGGTACTTACCTGTCTAGCTGGCAGTTGTGTCGTAGTCAAGGGCGAAATTATGCGAAACTCATCCGGAGGCATGTTGATTGTGTGCAGCTTTACCCTTATTATGCGACAGAACGGGAATACTCGATACCACTTGGAGTACCCGGCCCTTTTGTGCATATTATGCTGCAGCAATGCTACACTTTGACAGAAGGCTAGCTGCTTAGTCTCGCCACTTCCGTAGGAAGCCGGGGCGATGATGTCTAAACGAGTCTAGCGACTGTAAGAGCAGTGCTTCGACACCGGGGAGAAGAGATCGGCTCTTGCTCGTCAACTGTGGAGTTGGCATTGCAGATGCACAGAAATACACAAGCTTACAAATGGAGTCTTTCCCAGACCACCGGGTTGAGTTCTGAGAAGCAGTTGCCTACTTTGCCAGGCTGTTTCTCGGCTTTTCTTATCTTTTCTTGGCTCAGGAACAGTGTAACAGGGCTCTCAGCACATGCAGTTGCCCAAGCAGCGGCAGGTTAAGAAAGCCCCATCCGGTAAGTCATATAACGAAACACTTTAAAGCTGCTCAAGCGTCAATTTCACTGTGAGCACCTCCTTAAAGTTGCCCATCATGGCAAGCCATGGCCGGAAGCGTCTCCACGTCGCGCGCAGCTCATTGCTTGTTGTGGCACACAGACATCAAAATTTATAAATACGTATTATATTACATTATCATAAATACATTGGCTTGGTATCATATATGACATGATGATATATGTATGTGCAGAATATGCATGTTACTATACTATACTATCTTATATATCTTATGGCAATGCTCCTGAAGTTACCCTGACCTTTTTAGTTGCTGCACTCTGACTGAGGAGACTCGAGCACGCGGGAAGGATGTCTCGCGCGGCACCAAGTGTTCGGCGCATCAGTGCTCGGAAACTTTGCCAGTGGCCCTCCCAAACCGTGATGAAAAGAATTTAAAACCGACTCTCACCATACGATCCAGCAATATTTGCGGAACCTAGTCTGTGTATTTATATACATATATCATATATATATAATTAATTTTATATACATGCCATATGTGACAATATGTGCGTATGCATTTAGTATGTCTAAAAGTGCACTGGGTAGTTGCACCTTGAGTGCCATGCATTTGCCGGATGAAAATACGACCATGTCCAGGCAAACTGTGCGAACAGAATTGTCATGTGCGAACTGTGCCCACGCTTTATAGCATGAATGGGACTCATCCAACCTGCAGGGTTTTCTCTTTTTTTCCTCAGATGCACACGCTGATCCAACCAAGATTACGCTACTAACATCTATTGAGCAAGTACTGTGTGACTCAGTATGACCAAGTAATTTGCAAATGCCAAATGTCAGCAGAAGCGCAACTACCTGCAAGTCCCTACCTCACGAACCTCCGAATCCACCGAACCAAGTAATTCAACTGTACTGCACCTCCATACCACCATTAGTGGAGATTCCTGGCATTGCACCTCACCTGATCATGCAATACCTACGATATAAATCGATATGAAATGTTTTCCTGACAGCCATCATGCACAACGCCAAGCGGCTGGCGATCGGGCTGATGGGTTAGCAGAGCTAGCAGAGCTCTGGGCAATGCGCCCTTGGGCTGCAGTCTTGCTAAGTGCACCCCAGATTGCCACAACCCGCTGTTTCCAGTGCATTGGCCTAGCACAGCTCTTTCCTCAGATCAGAAGCCGGATTGGCTTTGGGTTGCTTGATCCTAGTTTCCAAATGTTTCCAGATGTTTCCAGATACAAGATGTGGGTGATCGTAGGCATCAGATTTGAAGACATCAATGCTGTGTTCCAGGCATGCGAGCGCATGTGCCCAAGCAGGCTGAACGATGGTCCCATTGTTTCGAAAAACCTTACCCTTTGCACGCAGTGGATGCCTGACAAGCAAATGGCACGCTTTTCAGGCTTTCTGACTTTTTCCCTCTTCAAGGGTGTGCCTGGAAGACGTTTTGCCACTTCCAGAACCAAAAGTCATTATTCAAGGAGTGAAATTGAGAGCATCGTTTCAAGCTTCCTGACTTACTCAGCAGATTCGAATCCGACACAATCAGGAATGCCCTTTCTAGCTGCTGGAACTATGCATGGAAGGAGCTCGGTTACAAGCTTACCAGGAATGGAAGAAGCGCTTGGGATGGCTGGTCGTAAGCTTGCGACGCTTGGCAGAAGTTCGTCATATTTTATTTCGTGACACCGCGAAACTGGTCAGACCTGGTCATCCTTTCGCGTTTTGCTTCACATTTCCATTGTCGTCCATAAACTACCATATACTCACCTTTCAGATCGGCATGATCAGCCCAGGAGAGTATGCAGCTGGCGTGGCCATGCGACGCCTCACCAATGTATTTGACTATGCAGGTGGAAGTCTTGGCACTGTCCGTCCTTAAGACCTTAAGACCATCCTTGAGACAACTTGAGACCATCGTGCAATCCGTAATAGAGGGAAGTGAATGTTCACCATGCTATGCTCCTGTGCTTTGCTTGGTCACGTGAGACAGTTCATCAACCTGCATTAACAACAGCTCGGTGCCCGTGTGTGAAACCATGTCAACCACCTGCGCAGATGGTGAGATGCGGCAACTATTCGCAGGGACCTGAGCTTTCAACACTGAAGTATGGTGTAGAGAGGCACTGCAGAGCTCTCCTAAAATTGCCTGCTGATTTGCTGATATTTGCTGAGTCGGACGGTGGCAAAGTGTGGGGAGAAGTTTTCTGAGCTGTTTTCGTTCTGAATCAATCTTTACATCACGAGGATCAAGCTGCGGATGCGGTGGCTGCAGCAACCCGAAAGTTTTCTCCCTGTTTGGAAGCATTGGTGCGCTACATCGCTGGAATGCTGCTTGGGAGCGACAAGAAGGGGCTACTGAGAAACGGAGCGGGCTTCGCTTTGAACCCAGGATGTAATAATACTCCGCAAACGATAGAAAAACCAATAGACAACCACGTCAGAATCATCAGACGAGTTCGCCCGGTAGAGACAGACAGCAGGTGATAGAAAAGCCTCCACTTTGAATTGGTAAAACAATGGTACCTTCGACCTTCAACACGCTTCTTCTTCACCTTATATATAGGTTCAGCATGCCATCGTGCACGTCACATAGCCAAACCACAGAAAGAATAGTGGGATAAGATTTATCGATCGCTGAGTAGAATAGATTGATAGATAGGCAAATAGAGTTCAATAGTTAATTATAAATAGATAGACAGGCAGAGAAGGAGAGGCACACCTACATGATCCTACATGTATCGACCAACAAAGGCAGGGTGCACTTTTTGTTGAGCTTGTTAGGCCACATTTGGCTAGGCATTTCTGCCAGCGATGGCGGCCATTTACTGTAGACTCAGGATTTGCTTCATGTGTGACCCGCACTGGGTATCCAAGCTGCACAAAGTCTGAACGAGTGCTGACATTTCAACATGTTCTACAGAACTTTTGTGCACTTCAGAGAATCTGAAAGTAGAATATATTGCCCAAAGGGATGCAACCTCAGCTTGAAGGATACTTATCTCTACGCCTCGAAGCTGACAGATGCTGCTGGAACAACAAAGTGTCTATTAAGAAGGTCGGACTGGGATTGGACTGGGTAGAATACATGTTACGCATGTTGCAAATTGTTGCAATATGTTCTTTTCTGTTTTTGATGTTTTTGGCCCCTATAGAGTGAACACCTTGAGCAGCCACGTATGTTTTTGCTATTTTTTGCTGAAGGTGTGGCTAGGGTTGGTATCCAAGGCTTGTGCGCGAAATGACTAGTGTCATAGTCATAGTGTCATCACCGCCTTGAGCCTTACCAGATACAGATATACATGATTATGTACCAATGTCATTTGTTCCACAGTATTTTTATCCCAGTAGCGGAAAATCACTTTTTGTGGGGGAACCCCCTAAGTAGTCAACTAGTGTTTTTTTGGGTCCCGGGGTTGACATGATCAAAGAAGCGATGTTTGTAGCTGGTGTAGCGTTACTTTGCTCAGCTCAGTCATGCACCATCTCTGCACCATCTCGAGTTTGTGTCAAGTTTGCGCTCATCGTTTGCTGGAGTAGCGTGCGAAGTCTCGAAAGGTGCCGTGTAACATAGTGCCATGTAGGCCAGCTTGAATGCAATGCGTGGAACGATTGTATTGCTTGGTACAATCTGGCTTAGTTGTCAGATTGTTTTCTTGGCCCATGAATCATGCAGAGCATTGCAGGCTGAGGGCTTCGATCCAATTTCAGCTGGACGCGCAACAGGTGCATTGCTACAATATGCCAAAACTATCACAAGCAGCACAGGCACTGAATGCAGCCAGATATGTCCAGATAGTTCAAGTCTCTAGCAGCTGCACCTGGTAGTGTGCAGGAACATGAGCAGGGACCAAAGTAGTGCGGTGCCCGTTGTTGCCCCTTGTTAGGCTTTGACTTTGACATCAGTGACTTTTGCGATCCATCAGAGACTTTGGAGAGTTGCCGCGGGGACAACATGGAAAAAAGGGATGCGGCAGCAAGGCCTCATGTTTTGAGTCTGAGAATAGTCGCTGAGGGGAGTCTTCTCCGATGTTATATGTCCTTTGCATTCATTTGCTCATATTGGCTCTCGCTGCGGAACAAGTTGTATATATGTGTTTCCTTCGTGTAGGGTTTGTCCAATCTGGCCCCTTTTGAGCAAATACTAGATGTTGTAAGGGCATTTGGAAATAGTCCCATACCAAAAGCCTTTGCAAATCCACAGCTCTTGGCTGGTTTTTCTTACTTCAACAAGCCGCGATCCCTTGAAGCCATGCTGCTCCTAATTGGAAGTCAGCCCAAGCATGGGGCAATGCGGCCGATCGGAAACGGCCAAGTCCGGCCACAAGCACACCAAGTCAGTTGGGCAAATCCAGGTCCTGTGCCCCCTGAGCGTCCGTACCTTTCACCCCTAGTGAACCTGGCTGGCCTTGCCTCCCCGATTTTCCTTTCGCCAGCGGTCATTTTTCGAGGCAAGTCAAAGAAGACTGCCCGTGCCTCCACAAAGAAGAAACTATTCACTAAGGACGCTCCTGCAGAGGCACCAAGTTGCTCGGCGTCGTTTGATGTCTCAAAGCAGGTTGGCGTCTTAAAGAGCTTTGGCTTTTTCGACCCCTTAGGAATTGCAACAAGTGATGTGTGGAAGCCCGTGCGAAGCATAGTGCCTCGGATCGGCTTCTCTGGAGGAGATCGAGGCCGTGTTGGACTGGGATTTGGCATCAACACGGAATTTGAGCCTAGTAGCCTCGAAATCAGTGAGGACGAAAGATGGTTCCGACGCCTTCGCGAAGCAGAGCTCAAGCATGGGAGTGCCATGTTGGCCGCTTTCGGCTTTTTCACAGCACATGTTGTTCGGGTACCTGGCTTCGAAGATGCATCAGAAGGTATCGCAGCAGGATTGGCCAATGAATCATGGCAGAGGATCTCACTACTGATCTTCATTTTCTGTGGACAGTTTGAGCGGAATCAGTTCAGACAGGAAGCAGCACGGGAAATTGGTGATTTTGGTGATCCACTAAAGCTTGGCCAATTGGGTGGATTCACACCTCAAATGCGCTTGGGTGAGCTCGTGAATGGCCGTTTGGCAATGTTGTCTTGCGCTATTATTGCGAGCACCGAGTTCTATGCAGGAATGCCTGCCACCCAGGCTTGGTTTCCCTTATAGATCTTATAGACTGAGGAGATGATTCAATGTCGATCCGAAGGATGTCCAATTTTCCCTTGCAATTCATGCATTTGGCTTGGCACAACACTAACCTGGGGGCAAGGTTGCTGGAAAACAAAGTCCAATCGCTTCAACGATTGCCACTAGCATGCCCACGCATGTGGGAAGTTGGCCAGATGATACAAGCGGAGCTGCATTGTAATGGAAAATGAAAAGTGCGAGGGATCGGTTGCCAAACCCATGTGAATGCCATGAGAATGCATCCGCACGCACAAAAGACATCAAAAGACTCTTTGCTGATCACAGCGGATGATAGCGGCCAATTCCTTACGATTGCCGTGTATTGTTGGATCATTAAATTTCGAAGTGTTCATGCAGATCGACATGCATCGTGGATTTCCTGCCCATAACCTCAAATTTGAGATTCTTGGGCTGCCTTGGATTGCCTTGGGCCCTCCGGGCCTTGGGCCTTTGGGATCCTTTGGATCCTTTGGGATCCTTTGGCTTGGTATTTGATGATATTTGTGTCATTTGACTCCTTGAGGTCCAGTCAGAACGAGGCTCTCCCAGGAGGCCCGTGGTGAAGCTGAGCATTTTCTCGAGAAAACTTGAGGAAACATGAGGAAACATCGATGTCATTCGATGTCCACCGTCCAGGAGCCTTTGCCAGAAGTGCTGCGCCACAGCTACAAACCTAGCCATCCTAGAATCTAGCAGAATCTACCATGCACATTGACATGATGATGTTAAGAATATTCACTTGGCAATTCTTGACAAGACTGAACAAATTTGAGTGCATCCGCATCATTTGCAGTTTGATACAGTACGGGCTCTCTTTTTTGTTAGTTGGAATAGGGCACTGCGATATGCTGTGTTTTTTTGTTTGAACTTATTTTAACCTTTGTATACTGTATGCACAAGCTTCCTCTCATTCAGATCAGACCTATTCTGCGAGGCCAAAAAGCATTGCAGACTTTGAAGCTGCTTTGACCCGTGCAGAAAGCGGCGGCGCTGATGTGGTGCAGGCTGAGTGCTTTCGATGTTTGCTTTAATGCCCGTTAGCCGTTCATGAAGTAAAGTAATGTTACAGTATCAAGTTTCCTTCGAATGATTGGCCGGTGCTTCAGTCACATATCATATCCTACACACACACAGTATTGTAATATATATATATATATTATATTGTAATTATAGTTCAATTTGAGGAGTCAGATGTTTTGACATCATTTGCCCTTTTTTGTGTCACATGTTCACCAAGCTGCCGCCAGGTTTGGACTGACTTTGCTCTGTGGGCAAAGCGGCTGGTTGATGGTACAGAGCAGCTTTCCATCTTGCGACGAGCCTGCCGCAGCTGGGGTCTTAGTTGGTTTAGTTGTACCATGTTGATCCATGTTGTATCGTAGGCTGAGAAACCCTCAATCATCAAAGGCACATATTTTGGATTTGAGGGTGATGACCTCGGCATACTTCAAACCATTGGATGAAACTCACCACGCAACAGTGAACGATGACATCAGGGTTGTTATGCGCTGTCAGAATAGTTTCGTACAGCTTCGTCGTGGGCTTTCAAAAAATCATGTTGCAGGCTTAGCAGGAGAGAAGAGGCACGCGCAGGAGCACTTTGCACAATGAGCAAAGCAGCGGAAATGCAGTGTCTTTTTCGACAGACAGGCTGTGCATCCACTACGATCACGAACATCCCCCATTGTTTGTGACGGCTTGTGATAGGACATTCGCCAGCTTCGATTGTGGGCGGGTTTCTCAGTGACCAAAATGCCAAAGCTTCACTCCAAAACTTTCCCAATAGCCTCAATTGAAGCGGACAAGCTCGAGAAGGCTCTTCGCTTTTGTTGAAGTGCTTCTGACCACGTGGATAGGTGATGCTGGCAGACAAAGAATCAAGGCCCGCTCAAATCTTTCAGCACTTGGAGGCAGGGCTGGTGGATTTGGAGGGTGCGAAGATGTGCAACCCGCGTTCCTTTCACCGACAGTGCCACGGTTTTATAGAACGAGAGGCACGTTGCTGGTCGAGCGCTGACCTATGAATGACATCTGTAACATGTTTGAATCTTTTGGAGCCAAGCCAACTAACACAGGGAGATCACAGACCAGAAAACGGCCAGCGGATTAGTCAGCAGGTCAAATTCAAATTTGGCCAGTGCCATTCTGCAACGAAAGATTTCTTGATTTCTTCAGGAAAAGCAGCACCACTTCTATCTGCATTATTCTGCAACACTTTCCAGCCGCCAAAGGCTCGCGGCATCGGAACGAACCACGCGCTACTTTTTGAGGCTTGGGCACATTGCTTGGAGGCGTTTGGGCCTCAGAAACACAACTCTTTTTCTATCTTTTTCTCAGGTCGTTTTTTCTGATTCTGTCCTCTTGTCCGAGCCAAGGAAGCATGACTTCGAAGGTGCAGCAGATGTGCCGCTACCTTGAATGTGAGTGGAAAGATGCTGAAACGACATGAAACGGCCATAAATGACCTGATGATTTTTTGGATGCAAGAATGTCTTCAGAAGCTGCTGACAAAGGTATCGACGTGGTTTGACATCGTTGGCGCAGCCTCAGGTGACCTGAGAACACGCCTGGCCACCATGGCCGCCATCGGGTGACACAAATGTGGCGTGAGTTTTGAGCTCGCTGCGCAGGCACGCTTGCGAGCGCGTCGTGCAGACTTTGACGTCACAGCCTTGCCAAACTGTACTCGCTGTTGCTGGAGAATCATAGCATTCAAGGAGGTCCAGGGGCTAGCAAAAAGTAGGACAAAGTTAGGTAAAGATGGATAAAGATTTTGTATATAACTGGATGAAAGATCGTTGGATGGCCCATCTTGCGTCCTGGTCCTCGTCAAGTTCATCATGGTGCTTACCTACGGGTTATTGTTCCTCCTGCGAATGACGGCACGATCAATCGTGGCAAGTGTTAGCATGTGCATCATGTGCAAGAAGATCCGGACTCGCTGAGGAACGCATGCGACAGCGTGTGTCGCGCACTCCTAGCACGGAAGCTTTCACTTTTAGCACTCCGCCGCGCGAGAGCAGATCATGGAGGTGACCACAAGATGTAGCACATTTCATTTGCATACCGTGAGCATAGCTTTCCAGACCACCGTGAAAAGACATGACATATTGATTCATCATGAATTCAATTGAAATATATTGAAACCATATAATACAATATAATACAATCATATAACTTTTAATAGTGTGGTGACTGTAGATGAGAACATAGTACTTGTACCAAAGAGTGAATGGGTCTGATAAACTGAGCTGTGACATGATGTGACATGTGAGGTGCTTCCATCCCTTCAAATCTGAAATCATGACAGGCTCTCCCATTTCCGCGCCATCAAGACATCCTTGAAGAAGCCGCCCGCATCATAGCATGGCTGTTCTTGGAAAGGCTAGCAGTGAACAACATCCCGATGTGTTTTCTAATCGAACTTTCCGAGGTCAAAGTATTCCACGCTGAGATTTCGGACGCCTCGCAAGCCCCACAGTCATGAGGATCCAGCTCGATCTAACTTTGTTTTCAAGTGCTGCACTTGATTTCTTTTGTATTCTTTTGTGATGTTTTGTGATTTCTTTGTCATTAGGCAGCATATTCACACATATTCACAATAATTAGCAACAAACCACAGAGATCCATTCAAGGGGTTGTTCAGCTTCGGGGTGCAGGAAGCAAAGCATCGACATGTTCCAATAGACCAGCGATGTTACAAGGACATCAAAAAGGTGCGCTATTGAATCTATTGGCATTGCTTCAATTGGATCCAGCAGATTTAATATGATTTAATCATGCCATTCATCAATTGATAGTGATTCAATCATCCGAGAAACGAGCTGCCCAAGGAGGAGGTGAAGCGAACGGCCATGAATTCAGCGAAGGGTGCCCGAACAGCAGAGATGGCGACTGCGCAGGCGGGGATTGCTGAGATGATCTGAGATGGATATGATTCCTGGATATGGCGACGCTGAGGGAGTCCTCTCTGATGTATATAACTATGAGTCTTTGGTATCTTTGGTTTTATGCATCCGTTTGGCACATTTGCAATACATTTGCCTTGAAGTCAAGATGGTAAGAGTTGACATAACCGATGGGTATGGGAGGAAACAGCAGTGTATGATTGGGTTTTATTTGGTAGTAGATGGTAGCGTTCCAAGACCCTGGTGCTGTCAAAACATACCTCTTACATTGAGTGTTTGGCTAGGTAGACACGAGGTCCAGGCTCACGTGTCGCAAGCAGGCGGAGCTTGTGTTACCTTGAATCCAGTCTCCAAGATTGATCTCTATGCGGATGGCCATGGTAGAACTTGCAATATGTTGTTGCAATTCTCTTAATGAGCTGGAGTCACAATGAGTCACACGACGCAGCGATACAAAGCCCAAGAGCTCAACAGCAGCATACAGCATCACACAGCAACTTCAGGCTTAGCAGGCTCTTTTCGAACCGACTGTGGAAATTTGGCCCAAGGGTTTCCAAACCCTTTCAGTTCCAGTCGTGGGGCGTGCTTGTGGAACAGCCTGGCCTTGCTCTCAGTCTAGATAGCAATGGAGCCGCAGTGTACTGTCAGGATCTGTCAGGTGTTCTACTGGAATGGAATTAGGTAGTTGTACTGTATAGTATGGCATATGCACGCATGTTTATATAATTTATTTAAGGGCTGCCGCCCCTGCCGCCGACCCCGGAAAAGAGAAACTCGCAATGGTGTCAGCTGGCTTCATTCGAGTGTTCTGTGAGTTGTCAGCCTGGATGCTTTATATATACATTATATATATATATATGCATCAAATAGTATATACTTGTGTGTTGAACTGAAATTTTGCTAGTCCATATCCCTGCCATGAAGCTCAAGCATCCATCCTTTTGCTTTCCGTTTTTTGGGGGTGGTGTGTCCTCCTCCCCGTGCGCGAGACATAGTCTTCGCACGGGAAAGGCACATCAGTGAATCATAAAGAGTTGTTTGAAAGCAAAAGAATGGATGCTTGAGCTTCATAACTGGTATATAACATATAAATTGTGAAAAACATGGGCTAGAAAATGCTAAGATCATCCGGAAACCATCGATTTTCCCACTCAATATATGGGGTGTTCACCAGTAAATTTTCCCCAACAAACCAATCCATTGAAGGGAAGGTTCATGGACACATTGGGATTATCAATGATAAATGGGATATGTATTGGGAATTTTCAATGATGATGTTGGGTATAATTGGATGATATTGGGATTATCACACTCTTGGGATATGTATTGGATGATCAAATTATATGGATTTTTCAATGATAATTGGATAATTGGATGATATTTATGATTTTTACCATGGTATTCATTGGGGTTCATGACAAGTTAGGATTGATAACCCCCCAGGAAGGTAGGTACAGGATATGTTTTGTTTGTTTTAGATGTTTTCTGATGTTTATAATATTGGCAAAGTATTCTGATGACAAAATATGATGTTTCCATTGGGATTATCATACCCTTCTAAATATTCACTGGTATATATATATATATATACATAGTGTATATATATATATACAGTGTATATATATATAATATACAACTTATATAACTATCTCAACATGGTAGAAAACTAATGGTTTCACCAAATCGACTTATTGCAGAAATAGGATGAACTATATTGCCATATGGGTCTAACCAAACAAAATCAACGGGTCTATCCAAACAAAAATAGGAACGTCACCAGCAACTCATTGGGGTTCCTGGGTTTAACTAATGGGCCAAGAAAATGAGTCGTTGTCTAAAAAATATGGTGCCCATCCCATCGGATCAAATGATTGAGAAACCGTTTTCCATGTATTATATTAAACAGCAATTGTAGCGAATACCGCATATTCAGTGGTGATATCGTGGGGATAGACTTTGGATAGACTTGTGTCAACGTTTAAGACGTCTGTGGACCCACACGGGCCGGTTGTGTTTAGTATCAACTGTCCCAAACTTGGTCCTGAATTCTGACCCACACATGCTGGGATGGAACCAGCATGGGAGCAAATCTGTGTGTAATTTTTTAATGGGAGTAACGAGATGTAAACAAAGGATAACAAAGGATTTTAGTCACCTATATGTTCGGATATGTTCCGATTTGGTACATCAGTGATCATCAGTGTGGATAGGGGCATGTGACAATGCCTTTCAATCTTCCAGTGAATTCTTGTGAGTTCCGGGGTGTTCAACAAATTACCTTCGTCACAAGTTGATTCTTAAGATTGTTGGTTAACATCCCATTTCTGGATGGTTATTACCAGCACTTTTTAGGGATTTATGGGACCTTATATTGTTAACCATTTTCCCAAGCTATTCCTACATTCCTGTCGCTGGCGTACGTCCACAAAGGCACCATAGGGGGCTGCATTGGTGACCTTGGGTGGTTGAGGCTTGAAACCGCCCAAGAAACGGTAGCAATTTAAAGAGCTCCGATCGAGATAGAACTGAATATATCAACAAGCATGTTCTTTTATCTTCCAATGGTAGGTCTGATATTGGGATGTGATAAAAAACTTGTATCACAAATACGTGTCCTGGAAAGGTGGAAGATTGGGTAGCTATTAAATGATGTTGTCTGTTTCAGTGAATACAATTCTGCGCTTAGTGAGCAACCACCATTTGGAGGGGGACCCAACAGGGTCCCCCGGCAAAGGGTCATTGTTGTTGTTGTTGTTGTTGTTGTTCTTGTTCTTGTTGTTGTTGTTGTTGTTGTTGTGGTTGTTGTGCTGCTGCTGCTGCTACTGCTGCTGCTGCTGCTGCTTTTCTATCTACTGTAGCTGCAGTAGTATAGTAGTAGTCGCAATGTCTTATTCCCTGGCGCGCTCCCCCTTGCGTCTGCCGGGGTCGGCGGGGGTCAGCATACAAAGTGCACAGTGGTTTCTAGACGCGGGCCGCACCAACCCACAATTGAAAGTCACCCGGTACCAATTTCCCATCGCGCCCGACTTCGCTGACACGTTTTACGGTGCACAAGGAAGCACAATAGAACCCGGCGTGATCGTTGACATGGTCGGTGCTGACCCAATAGCGGCGTACATTGGGATGACACGCTGCCGCACACGGCAGAAGATCTTGATCTACCGTCCGTTCCCGCTGGCACCTTTTCAAGCAGGTCTGCCGCTCGGACGGCAACTTCTGCTTGATGTGTGGAAACAAGAGCCGGTGGACTGGGATGCATTGCGCAAGAAGTACTTGGATGAGAGGCAATGTCATGAGTGTGGGGAGATGAAACGTAAAGATGCATTCACCAAAGCACAGTGGAAACAAGACACCTATCGGGTCTGCAAAGAATGCACAGCGCAGAAGCGCGAGGCCGGCACACCATATCGATGCACACAGTGCGGTCTGTGGCACGCGGCTGCCCACTTTGCAAGCAAGCACCAAAACCCCCGCTGGAGCATGTATCGCATGTGTCTGTCGTGCGATACCAAAAAAGCATGTTTTGTTTGCCAAAGCAAACAAACGAAAGAACACTTCGGCGCCTCAGCGTGGATGGCACGGGAGCCCAAGCGAAGAGTGTGTGTCCAGTGCCAAACGAAAACGCGTGGTTCTTGGAAGTGCGCAGCATGTCAGCAACGCAAACCGCAGCAGCAATTTTCTGATTTCATGAGAAAGCGGTCTTCTGGCAAAAACGGTGCACAAACATGCAATGCATGTCGCACCGTTCTTGCGCAAGCTGTTCTCCGCAAGCGGGCTGCTGCATCGAACATAAGCCGACTGGAACCTCTTCGCAAAAAATTGCGTCGGACCCACGTGCTACGCGAGACATGGGAAGCGATTGCAGAACACAGACAACAACGCACGAGCCAGACTATGACGAGCGAAAAAGAAGGTACACATGAGATTGCAATCCCAAACGAAAGAGAACAAAGTCCACCACCAGAAAAGAATTATGTGTACGTATGCCCTTTCTGCGAAAAATCTATTACTTCAATTGCTTCCGGACATGTCGACCACCGACGCGTGTGCGGGAAACAATTTCGCGTGCAGGATGGAGTTCTTCGGCCGACAGCCCACTTTTCGCATACATGCCCTACTTGTGGAACCTGCGTCCAAAGCACCAAAGAATTTGGGCGAATCAAAAGCAAACACAAACAATCCAATGGTCGCGCGTGCCGCCGAACGGAATGGCATGCAAAGTAACAACAAAGAAGCTCGCAGCATGAAAACTTGCAACAAGAAAACAGGCTCGCAAATAATCACGTGCCGAAGAACCACAACATGCCCTGGAAATCACTTCCCGTGGAGAAAACACCAGGGCTCTGAATGGCTACTAGCTGCTAGCTGCTAGCTGCTACTGGCGCTGGCTGCTGGCTACTAGCTATGTGCACCTTTTGCGTGCTCTTGCCTAACGTGTCGTCTGACACCCTAGAAAAACACAATTTTTCGATAGATTCTGTTGCTGGCGGCTGCTAGCAGTAAAACAAGTTCGAAAAAATCACCTCCCGGGGGGGGAAACACCAGGGCTCTGAAGGACGAGCGAGTGCCAGAACCACGCCAAAAAAATCCCTAACGTATCGTCTGAAATCCTAGAAAAATCTATCTAGATTTTTTGGTACGCTGCTGGCTACTGGCCGCTGGCTGCTACTGGCGCTGGCTGTTAGCTACTGGCTATATGCACCTTTTGCGTGTTCTTGCCTAACGTGTCGTCTGACACCCTAGAAAAACACAATTTTTCGATAGATTCTGTTGCTGGCGGCTGCTAGCAGTAAAACAGGTTCGAAAAAATCACCTCCCGGGGGGGAAAACACCAGGGCTCTGAAGGACGAGCGTGTGCCAGAACCACGCCAAAAAAGTCCCTAACGTGTCGTCTGAAATCCTAGAAAAATCTAGATTTTTTGGTACGCTGCTGGCTACTGGCCGCTGGCTGCTACTGGCGCTGGCTGCTATAGCTACTGGCTATGTGCACCTTTTGCGTGCTCTTGCCTAACGTGTCGTCTGACACCCTAGAAAAACACAATTTTTCGATAAATTCTGTTGCTGGCGGCTGCTAGCAGTAAAACAGGTTCGAAAAAATCACCTCCCGGGGGGGAAAACACCAGGGCTCTGAAGGACGAGCGAGTGCCAGAACCACGCCAAAAAAGTCCCTAACGTGTCGTCTGAAATCCTAGAAAAATCTAGATTTTTTGGTACGCTGCTGGCTACTGGCCGCTGGCTGCTACTGGCGCTGGCTGTTAGCTACTGGCTATGTGCACCTTTTGCGTGCTCTTGCCTAACGTGTCGTCTGACACCCTAGAAAAACACAATTTTTCGATAGATTCTGTTGCTGGCGGCTGCTAGCAGTAAAACACATTCGAAAAAATTACCTCCCGGGGGGGGAAACACCAGGGCTCTGAAGGACGAGCGAGTCCCAGAACCACGCCAAAAAAGTCGCTAACGTGTCGTCTGAAATTCTAGAAAAATCTAGATTTTTTGGTACGCTGCTGGCTACTGGCCGCTGGCTGCTACTGGCGCTGGCTGCTATAGCTACTGGCTATGTGCACCTTTTGCTAGCTACTGGCTATGTGCACCTTTTGCTCTTGCCTAACGTGTCGTCTGACACTCTAGAAAAACACAATTTTTCGATAAATTCTGTTGCTGGCGGCTGCTAGCAGTAAAACAGGTTCGAAAAAATCACCTCCCGGGAACCACGGGCTCCCTAACGTGTCGTCTGAAATCCTAGAAAAATCTAGATTTTTTGGTGCGCTGCTGGCTACTGGCCGCTGGCTGCTACTGGTGCTGGCTGCTAGCTACTGGCCATGTGCACCTTTTGCGTGCTCTTGCCTAACGTGTCGTCTGACACCCTAGAAAAACACAATTTTTCGATAGATTCTGTTGCTGGCGGCTGCTAGCAGTAAAACAGGTTCGAAAAAATCACCTCCCGGGGGGGAAAACACCAGGGCTCTGAAGGACGAGCGAGTGCCAGAACCACGCCAAAAAAGTCCTTAACGTGTCGTCTGAAATCCTAGAAAATTTAGATTTTTTGGTACGCTGCTGGCTACTGGCCGCTGGCTGCTACTGGCGCTAGCTGCTAGCTACTGGCTATGTGCACCTTTTGCGTGCTCTTGCCTAACGTGTCGTTTGACACCCTAGAAAAACACAATTTTTCGATAGATTCTGTTGCTGGCGGCTGCTAGCAGTAAAACAGGTTCCAAAAAATTTACCTCCCGGGGGGAAAACACCAGGGCTCTGAAGGACGAGCGAGTGCCAGAACCACGCCAAAAAAGTCCCTAACGTGTCGTCTGAAATCCTAGAAAAATCTAGATTTTTGGTACGCTGCTGGCTACTGGCCGCTGGCTGCTACTGGCACTGGCTGCTAGCTACTGGCTATGTGCACCTTTTGCGTGCTCTTGCCTAACGTGTCGTCTGACACCCTAGAAAAACACAATTTTTCGATAGATTCTGTTGCTGGCGGCTGCTCGCAGTAAAACAGGTTCGAAAAAAGCACCTCCCAGAGGGGAAAACACCAGGGCTCTGAAGGACGAGCGAGTGCCAGAACCACGCCAAAAAAGTCCCTAACGCGTCGTCTGAAATCCTAGAAAAATCTCGATTTTTTGGTACGCTGCTGGCTACTGGCCGCTGGCTGCTACTGGTGTCGTCTGGCACCCTAGAAAAACTCAATTTTTCGATAGATTCTGTTGCTGGCGGCTGCTAGCAGTAAAACAGGTTCGAAAAAATCACCTCCCGGGGGGGAAAACACCAGGGCTCTGAAGGACGAGCGAGTGCCAGAACCACGCCAAAAAAGTCCCTAACGTGTCGTCTGAAATCAGGTTCGAAAAAATTACCTCCCGGGGGGGAAAACACCAGGGCTCTGAAGGACGAGCGAGTGCCAGAACCACGCCAAAAAAGTCCCTAACGTGTCGTCTGAAATCCTAGAAAAATCTAGATAGATTTTTTGGTACGCTGCTGGCTACCGGCTGCTACTGGTGTCGTCTGACACCCTAGAAAAACTCCATTTTTCGATAGATTCTGTTGCTGGCGGCTGCTAGCAGTAAAACAGGTTCGAAAAAATCACCTCCCGGGGGGGAAAACACCAGGGCTCTGAAGGACGAGCGAGTGCCAGAACCACGCCAAAAAAGTCCCTAACGTGTCGTCTGAAATCCTATCCTAGAAAAATCTAGATTTTTTGGTACGCTGCTGGCTACTGGCCGCTGGCTGCTACTGGCGCTGGCTGCTAGCTACTGGCTAAGTGCACCTTTTGCGTGCTCTTGCCCACGTTCTTGACACCCATTGGTGCCATCCTAGAAAAACACAATTTTTCGTGCTGCCTAACGTCCCGTCTGAAATCCTAGAGAATCCTATATCCTATAGAAAATCCTAGATCTAGATCTAGATCCTAGTTCGGGAATCCTAGCTGGGCCAGCTGTTTCGGCCGAATCCCCCAGAATCTCCTAAACAATATTATAGCTGGGCCTGCTGTTTCGAAACGGTTCCGAAACAGCAAAACACCACCTAATTTCGTGCCCAAAACGTAACACATGAACCCAAAAAAACTCACCTGCTGCTGCTGCTGCTGTTGCTGCTGCTGACAGAAGAGTCGCAAGAGCACCTCCCGGCACCAAAACAGCAAGGCACGGAAGCATCAGCTCACCTGCTGCTGCTGCTGTTGCTGCTGCTAACAGAAGAGTAGCAAAAGCACCTCCCGGCACCAAAACAGCAAGGCACGGAAGGACGAACAGGCCCTAGAATCGCACCGAAAAACTGCCTAACGGCCCTTCTGAATTCCAAGAAAAAATGTCTTTTTCCCAACCGTTTCCGCTCTTTCAATCTCCCATCTGCTCACCTGCTGCTGCTGCTGCTGCTGCTGTTGCTGCTGCTGACAGAAGAGTCGCAAGAGCACCTCCCGGCACCAAAACAGCAAGGCACGGAAGGACGAACAAGCCACAGAATCGCACCGAAAAACTGCCTAACGTCCCTTCTGAATTCCTAAGAAAAAAAAATATCTCTGTCTCTTTTTCCCAACCTTTTTGTCTCTGTCTCTTTTTCCCAACCTTTTCCGCTTTTTCAATCTCCCAGCAGCTCACCTACTGCTGCTGCTTCTGCTAACAGAAGAGTAGCAAGAGCACCTCCCGGCACCAAAACAGCAAGGCACGGAAGGACGAACAGGCCACAGAATCGCACCGAAAAACTGCCTAACATCCCTTCTGAATTCCTAGAAAAAATGTGTCTCTGTCTCTTTTTCCCAACCTTTTCCGCTTTAACGTCCCTTCTGAAACCCTATTAAAAATAGTCTTTTGCCAATACTCCGCCACACCCAAACACCATGGCAGTGAAGGACAGACGCGCCACCTTTTGCCAATTTTGCGAACCTTTTCCCGGTTTCGACCAATTTTTATACCACTGTTTGTACAATGAGACATAGAACCTCGAGGATGCGGCCTCGAACGAACAAATCAGAGCGGGAAGGGCAACCCAAGGAGCCCCACGTACCTCGAGGAGACTCCGGGAAGGACCCCCCACCGGTAAAACAAAAACCCCGGAGTCAATGAATCGACGTACGTGACCGGTGGGAGGGGGACCCAACAGGGTCCCCCGGCAAAGGGTCATTGTTGTTGTTGTTGTTGTTGTTCTTGTTCTTGTTCTTGTTCTTGTTGTTGTTGTTGTTGTTGTTGTTGTTGTTGTTGTTGTTGTGGTTGTTGTGCTGCTGCTGCTGCTGCTACTGCTGCTGCTGCTGCTGCTGTTTCTATCTACTGTAGCTGCAGTAGTATAGTAGTAGTCGCAATGTCTTATTCCCTGGCGCGCTCCCCCTTGCGTCTGCCGGGGTCGGCGGATATTTACATTATTTCATGTTATACAGATACAAACATCTAATTCTCGGCAAAGACGATGTCTTCGCCAGGGTCCGGGGTCTATCAGTTCTTCAGAGCATGTCTTGTGGTGTACTGGCCCACATGAGGACGCGAAAGAGATTGCAAGGGCTTTTCAGGACTCCTGTTTGGCACATATTCAGCCACACAGTCAGAATCAGACCTATGATCAACGTGGAGATATGTGGAGATACCGATGCTATCCGATCTGATGATCCAGAAGTCCCTGTATAAATCCCATTAAATCATTATAAATACATATAATTCCCTTGAAGCATTGTGTCGTATTGTGTCGTTGTGGCATGTGACGAGGAGACATGGCTCGTGCAGCTGACATTATGAGGTACAACACCCTTCTAGGATCGGAGATGATCGGAGATCGGAGCTGGATCGTTTTGGAAGGTGGTATATGGATATTTATATATATATATATATATTGATATATATGTATATATATAATTATATATATATGCATTATATATATATATATAGGTATGCTGGCCAATTTCTCACTTTAGGCAGCCCTTTACAATTGAAAGACTGTTTAAACGCCAGGCAGTCTTCAATGAGTTAGCTTGCCATGGGAGGAGTCAAGGGAATCAACGTCCGCAACACGTTCATCGAATTTGAGGCGGCCGAAGAACCTTCGCATCAGTCAAACTCTGCACATTTCTGCACTGTGACATTGATATACATTGATCAACATTGATCATACGTATTCATATTCATCATTCCTTCTCCCGTTTCAGGGTTGCACGACGCAATACCGCATGTTTGATTTCACAATCATGACAAGTCACTTTAAGTCATGACAAATCATGACTTATGATATCTTATGATCAGCACTCATCAAGTTGCTGCTTCAATGAACATTGTCCCCACATGTCCCCCACATTGTGGGAGGAAGAGGATAGCTATGGAGACTTTGATGGACGAACTGGCTTCGGCCGTCAGGCGACACTTTCACAGTGGAATCCGGTGCGCTTGATCTGCTGTTTCAAGAATATCCAAGAGTTGGACGCAGGGACAACGGTCGGAAAACCCGACATGATATGAAATTATCACATATGTCATAGATTATCCGATTAATTATCCCATTTTGCTGGCGAATTAACATGGTTTCCAGTTTCCCTTCAATCAATCCACTGAGTGCCTGCGAGGCTTCCGAACCAGCCAAACCAAGTAGCTGGAATCGCCAAGTTTCAGCACCGCCCTGAGAAGAGCTTTGCGACAATATCAACAGGTTTGTTTAAGTTGCTAGAACTATAGTATGTAATCTGTGCACATGTATAATACTCTATATATATATACATATCATATCTATACACATATATAATATATATATAGAGTACGACATTATATTATGTATGTGTTTGTATGTATGACAAGCATATTAAGTCGGCTTGTGCGGGCCTTGGACCAGAATGCCAGAGTTGGCATTGAAGATCTGAACCACATGAGATCGGCGCGAAGTCATCAAAAGTAACGGGGTGGACTGCATGAGTTGCTGCACCAAGGAACAGACCACCGCCATCACGGCTGAGGGCACTGAGGACATGATATGACCTGCGATTGAGCTTTGAGCAGCCCAACCCATCCCAAGTTCTCAACGTGACCTGAACCGCAATCTCTGAGCAGCCTTAGGAGTCCGCAATCGATGTGGAAGACACTATGCATCTCTCACCTTCTGACTTTCAAATTCAAGGAGCGCCATGGAGCCCTGGTTAATGTCTGATGCAGCTGCGTAAGCCCAGTAATTAGATGGAATTAACCAGAAGTCCAGAAAGTTCTTTTGTTTTTTTCTCTGAGTGCATTCCAGGACACGTCCCAGGGGAGATGCTGGCGCATGCATCAAGGATGGGAAGCTTGGCACTTGGTGCAGTCAGTGCGAGCAAATGCTGCGCAGATTGTGCATGTCTCCGCTCGCAGCAAATGCCTGTTGCAACATTCGCTTAGGTGATGTCGCTTTCTTGGATGCCATCAAGGACACGTTGTCAGCTGCAAAGGGCCCAATCTCACTTGGGTCAGATGGGTTTGCCCTGCAGGCCGTGAATCAAGCAGTGAGCAACATGACGCAGATGACACAGGGCGCAGCAAGCACCATGCCTGCCCCCCAGTTGAACGGGGTCGCTCGTTGCCTTGCCTTTTGCGAAGGCAGCTGGTTGCCTGCATATCTCAGAGCAGCTTGCATGTTCCGAAGACTGCACATTCTTGGCAAGGTAGTTGGAAGATGTTGCATGCTGTGAGTCGAGCTGATTAAATCTAGAATTAACATTGGGAATTTAAAATCCATTACATTCCTAGATCCTAGATGTTCCTCGGGGCGAATGGCTCCTTGCTTCCACCATGCTTGCAGGGGAGAGTGAGAGAGACACACCTACAAGATCCATCAAGATCCTACAATTGCGTCAGGTAATACTCAGGCTAAATTCAGGAATTGGACAGGAGAGACTTGTATCATCTTGTATCAATGATTGGGTGCTGTCCGTTTACTCCTTGGGGTTGCATCAATGAAATGTCGGATATTGTGGGATCATGTTCAAGAAGGCTGGACTTCTTTCATCTTCTTTCACATCTCTCAAGTCCAAGATGTTGCCTTCAAAACTGCCCCAGATTTGGCATGATTTGACCGTTTGATTTGCGTCAAAACTGAAGGCCAGTGAACCCACCCAAGCCTCAACTGCGCTTCTGCCCAAGCTGTGGCGCCAAGGCTGTGCATGGATAGTTGATCATCGATTCCATGGAATTCCATTGAACATATTGAAGAAAACTGAAGAAAAAGAAATCGCTACTGCAGCATGGCGAACCCAATTGCCTTGTGAAGGGACTTGTGAAGGCTTCAATTCCTCCATCCTTGCTTGGAAGCGATGTGATTTCTTTCATGATCGGTGGTTGGGTCTTGACATGTGCAATCCTTTGCGCTCATATCCTACAGTTCCTACAGCCATTTACAAACCTGGGTCAACCGAACTTGGAACAGGTTCTGAGCCAAGCTCACCGCTTCTGTGCTTACTGCCGGAAGCTCAGATGGGTAGGCCAATTTAGGCCACATTCCGATGAAGTCCTGCCAACTCTGCCATGCGATGATGTAGATAGTGGATGATAGTGGATGATACCGGATCATTTTGATCTGATTCGATTCGTTCTCTTCTTGGTGGACAATTGATCCAGGCATCACATGAGATGCAGCCGAGGTTGCTTCCCCTTCGGCCAGTTGCAAGATGAGACCGTCCCACCACTAGCCCAGCAAACATCTTTGTTGTCTTCCTCGCCGATGCCAAGCTACTCAGTCGCACAGTTCCAGATAGTTCCAGGATGTTCCAAGGGACATCAGGAAACTTTGATTCCTGGGCTCTTTAGTCATTTGGGATCCTTTTATTGCCCTTCAGATGGTTGATCCATGTTGATCCACTGTGTTCTCTCGTGCCACTAGTTGCCCATCCGTGGGCCACTTATTCTCCTTTTTTTGGCCCGCTCACTGCTTGCTAGCAGGGGATTTGTAAGTGTATACTTGGATCCGTTTCACACTGATGTTTGATGTTCAAAATACTCGTGTACTGCCAACCGCGGATTAATAAACCTTTGCCAGCCTGACTATTAACTGGGCGGTTAGCTACAACATAGTCACAAACTACTCTGTATTTACTAAGATTGGTATCCCCTGGTTATTAATCCAGGATTAACATGGATTAACATTACTGGCTGTATTTACGGAGCTTGCGTCGGGTGTGCAACAGCTATTGCGGCTGCGGATTTGGAAGCTGTTTGCACTGATACCATTGGCATCTATCGGCAATGTCAGGCTCCATGGGCGCCGTTGAACAAGCGTTACTGGCCAACATGCAGGCTGGGTGCATGAGCTGTAGTCAGTTGCACCAGGTGACACGCACCGAATTTCCTGCAACCCAAGGCCGCAGCCCCGATGCCTTCGCAGCCGGTGATGCCAGGGAAGGTCTCAAAAACATCCAAGGTGCGGCACAGCACAGCGGCGCAGCGGAAGTGGTTCAGAGTGGCTCAGAGCTGCATCTTGCATCTTGCTGTTAAGTCATGTCAAGGTATGTCAAGTCTGTAGAGGGGATGGTGTGAGTATGGTGTGCACAGCTGGGAGGCCAACAAGTCCCCCCAGCCTGACAACGTTCTGATCTGAGTTCTTTCCGACTCAACCAGTGCATAATGCTGGAGATGCGCTTTAGACCTTGTCCTTGCAAGGGTGGTTTGCTGAGCAATTTGCGGCATTTCCGTCTCTTGGCATATCTTGGCTCTTGGCTATACAATGCTATACGTATATACGTGTGTATATATATATAATATATTCAAATTATTCAATTGCACTCTTGTTGGGGACAATTGCCTGAAAGTCGAAACATGTTGAAACACGCTGTTGCTTGGAGGCTACATGGAGGCGAACCAGCTAGATGTTGAGTTAGCTCGCGTGCTATGCCTCACCCACATTCGGGTACCTTGTCACAAATGGCTTTGCTTTCCGAGCAACTTCCCACGTTTTCATGTTTTGGCACAAATTTGGACACGTTATCTTTGGGTGCGTTTGGGAGTGCCAAATTGATTGCCCGCGCCTTGCCAAAGGATTCGATCCAGGTTGCTGCATAGGAGCCGTTTTGTTGTCAGAGATTGTTTTCACTGGCGCATATTAGAACATTTAGAACTAATCAGAACAGCATCTGCCCCTTGCAGTCCGCTCCAGGAAGAGCTGACCTTTGAAGTGCGACCAGCAAGCAGCAGACAAGTGAGAGATCGTTTAGGGTGATGGTGAGCGATAATTAAGAAGCGAGTGACTTCAATTTGATAAAAAGCAGTTTCTCTCCAAAGTTTGCAGGTGTTTCTGATGTTGCTTTTTGATGCATTTTTATTCTGATGCTTTTTGATGCTTTTTGCATTGTTACTTTTGCGACCGACCAACTTCTGAAACTGCATTGTCATTGTGATTGTTTGTGGAGAGCTGCAGAATGGTGCTTCTGAGGTTCCATTTTTTCAATCAAATGCGCCTTGCAGCGCAAGGAGCCATAGAGCTTGGCTTGCGCACGGACTTTCAAGTTTCAAGTTTCATGGCTTCATAGCCGCCTCTGGCCTGCCATTCGACGAATTGGCACCAGTGGCATCGCCCTAATTTGGCCTCATCGCAGGCTGCAGCTGATCTGAAGACTTCCAGTTCCGCATTCCGGGCTTGGGCTATCGGCTCATCCTGGCTGCATCCCAACATATCCCAACATATCCCAACCATTGCAACATCGCAACACAAAAGCTCCAACCATTACAACATGGCCTAATGTGAAGGGACAGATCAATTTTGGACTTCTGAGCTTGTCGCACACCCTCTGAGCCCTGAGCTGGGAGCATGGCCTGAGCATGGCAGAATGTTGAGTCATGTTGAGTCAATGAGTTCTGGACTTTGAAAACAGTTCGGCATTTTAAACTGTACAAGTAGTGTGCGTGCATGTGTGTGTGTATAATCAAATTGTAATCATATGATATGGAATAGTTGCAGAATATGCCTTGAATATCATGCATGCACACAAAACACGTGGAATCGTGTAGGTATTAGTATTACAGAGAGAGAGAGAGACATATAATTACAATTTAATCAAATCTAAATATGGTGTGCACGTGAGTGAACATAGGCATATTATAGAATATTATACACATACAACCATGTGTGTAATAATTTGATGTGTATTATGTGTATTTAAATTGTTTTGTACACTCTATGTATTTGTATGTCATCAGCCTCAGCCAACTAAAAACGTGCCGAAGCTGCAATCTCAGCTAGCATCAGCTATCCAAGACTTGGTGAAGTCTCAGGGAGCAGAGGATGGCGATGTACCAAAGGACAGCTAGCTCCAGAGGGCAGAGGGCGCGGGCTTGAAAAAGTGGCTCAACGGGCTCAACGTGGCTGACTTTGAAAGGAGGAACCTGATGAATCGTAGCGATAGAGAGAGAGACACAGAGAGAGAGAGAGATGAATCGTCATGAACCTTTGGCCTTTGATTTGTTAAAATCCCTTGTTGTTTTGCGTACCGTGCGGGCCAGGTGGCGGTGGAAGGGCCGTTTAGATTGCCGTCCTTGTCGACCCTTTCCGAGAAGTGCGACAAGCAGCACCCCTGCTTGTGATTGGATGGCGCAAGCAGTCACAGACCATGCCCGTACATGATTTGCCTTTTCAAGAGTAGAAGGAAGGAGGATTGACAGGGTTTGGGATTCCGAGCCACACAACAATGATCTTCTTGTTTAATGTCTTGTTGCACTACTACCTTCGACCAGCTCTTCTTCTGGTGTATAGGTGTACCCCCTAGTGATGCAATTGGCCGGAACACATTCAACGCGTTCAGGGACACATATACTCTCCTGAAATGCTCAGCGCGAGGGCCAAAATGCAGATCCTTGAACAGAAACTGGCTGAGCATGAGAAGGCCGGGACTTCCGGCTACATCGGGCTACATGGGGCTACTAGGTGCATTCAGTACGGCTCAAAGACAGAATCGCAAGCATCTTCTTGTGCCAGTCTTTGGCTAATGAGCAAACGACGCAGCGAATTACTAGGCAACATCTCGGCAACAAAATCAACAAAGCCAGTTTCTGCAGATGGAGAGCAGGAGACTCTGCAACTTACCTAGGTCATGCTATTCCTGATCGATAGATGATGTGGAGACAACCCCACCGCATTTTTTGGTGGGTTTTGCCATGCATGCCTGTACCGGACGCATTTTTCCCGTTGCAGGCCCGTCCAGTGAGCGCCAAGGATGCCCCGAAAGCAAGTGTGTCTGAGAATGCTGGAGCTCTCAAGGCCCAAATCAATGTTGAGTATACATGGAATTAACCCATTTAATCAATGAATACCGTACTTTTTCTGGGAAACTGCCAGGCACTGCAGAGCAGCAAATTGCAGGAGAACATTGGTGCCAAGGCTTCGGCAGTGAAAGAGATTATGTTCTGGTGTACCAAGAAGTTCCGATCCTACAGCAGAGGCAAAACAAAGTCTAACTACGTGAAAAAGATTGAACATGTACGTATCACTATGCGAGGGGTGCAAAGAAGGCCATGGAGAGGTATCTCTGTATGACATGTGGCAACAGCATTGCTTTTGCCCCTGGAGGCGTTTGACCGCTCCCAACCACCAACGTGCGAGAAGGTGGGCCGAAGCAACAACACGTGCTAGAGCCCATGGAACCAGTTCTATCGTAAGCTGGATACCAGTAGTACCGCACAAGGCGGTGGCGGAAGTTTCAAAGATGGGAAACTATAGGAGAGGTGAGTTGTTGTGATGGATGGATGGCAGAGCGAATCCATTGATGGCCCGAAAGGTGGTTGGAGTTGTGCTTTTTGGAGTGGTTGCAGTGGACAACTGCTGGATATAGTGTGGTGTAGTGTAGTGTAGTTGTAGCATGTTGTAGCCTAGTGTAGTTGTAGTTGTAGTTGTAGCAGTAGTGTAGTTGAGTTGTAGTTGTAGTTGACTTTGTAGTTGTATGTAGTTGTAGTGTAGTGTAGCGTAGTGGCAGTTGTAGCTGTAGTTGTAGCTGCAGTTGTAGCTCTTGTAGTCGTCGTCGTAGTAGTGGTAGTAGTAGTAGTTGTTGTTGTTGTTGTTGTTTTTGTAGTTGTAGTTGTAGTGTAGTGGTAGTGGGACTGGGGGTGGTAGTGGTAGTGGATGGTACTCTTGGATGTGCAAAGCGGTTCTGTTTGCAATTGAACGGTTCATTTCCATGCGGGAAAGCTATTGGGGTAAGGCGGTGCTTTTTGCGTTTAGCTTGGGTTTGGCATGACAGCTTGAAAGTGGCACCTTTAGATCTTGCAGCAACTTCCATGGGTATACCAATGGAAACTATTGTATATAGATGCTGTCCTGACAGCCACTTCTGCCATTATTTTTAAAACTTATACTTATATGCTTGTGGATGCTGCTGGCTGCTGCTGGCTGCTGCTTGCTGCTGCTTGCTGCTGCTTGCTGCTGCTTGCTGCTGCTTGCTGCTGCTTGCTGCTGCTTGCTGCTGCTTGCTGCTGCTTGCTTCTTGCCTGCTGCTGCTTGCTGCTGCTTGCTGCTGTAGTGGTAGTGTAGTGGTAGTCTAGTTTAGTGGCAGTGGTAGTGGTAGTATAGTGGTAGTGGTAGCGGTGGTTGTAGTCGTAGTTGTAGTTGTAGTTGCAGTTGTACTTGTAGCTGTAGCTGTAGAGGTAGTCGTCGTAGTCGTAGTAGTAGTAGTAGTAGTCGTAGTAGTAGTAGTATCAGCAGCAGCAGTAGTAGTAGCAGTTGTAGGAGGAGTAGTAGTAGTAGTAGTAGCACTTGTAGGAGGAGTAGTAGTAGTAGCAGTAGCAGTACCAATGGCAGTATCAGAAGCAGTAGTAGTAGTAGTAGTAGCAGTAGTAGTTGTAGTAGTAGTTGTTGTTGTTGCTGTTGTTGTTGTGGTTGTTGTAGTTGTAGTTGTTGTTGTTGTTGGTTTTTTGTGTTGTTGTTGTTGTTTTTTTTGTTGTTGTTGTCGTTGTCGTTGTCGTTGTCGTCGTTGTTGTTGTTGTTGTTCTTGTTCTTGTTCTTGTTGTTGTTGTTGTTGTTGTTGATTGTTGTTGTTGCGTTTGCGGTAGTAGTTGTAGTAGTTGTAGTAGTTGTAGTAGTTGTAGTAGTTGTAGTTGTTGTAGTTGTTGTAGTTGTAGTTGTTGTAGTTGTAGTTGTAGTTGTAGTTGTTGTGCCGTAGTTGTACTGTAGTTGTACTGTAGTGTAGCGCGGGGCGGTTGAACGTCCAAAAGTGCTCGGGACATGGTGTGTTTTTCACAGTTTGACTTCGACATGTGTTTCGCGCTACAGCAGCATGCGCTTTTTGAACATCTCAACTTCCAAAATTAATCCGACACTGGGGCATTTGAAACATTGACTTCGAACCGTGCTTCGCGCCACAACGGTGTGCAGTTTTTGAGAAACTCAAGTTCCAAAAGTGCTCCGAACGTTGTGCGCTTTGCAGTTTTTGACTTCGAAATGTCCTTCGTGCCATAGCTGCATGCACTTTTTCACGTCTCAACTTCCAAAAGTGCTCCGGGCATGAGGTGCTTCTGACATTTTGACTTCGACCCGCAATGGCGTGCAATTTTTCATCCCTCATGTCCCCACATGGCTCCACACCCGCCGCTTCAGCGAGCTTACTTTTTCACCCTCCGGAGACGCAAGACTTTTGAAAAACACAATGTTTCGCGACTTTTCTGCCTTTTCGCGCCCCTGCATCTTCTTTCTTCTGATTCTTTCTCTTCTCTGATCTTCTTTCTTCTTCCTTTCCCTTCTCTGACCCTTTCCACCGCTGCTTTTCCATCCGTCCATATTGTCGAAACTTTGACTTCTAAACTTCCTTTGATCAATCATGTTTTGTACCGCTTGAATGCATGCCCGGAAAAACGGCTGATTTATTGCTGGCTTACATGATGGTGATAACAAGCTTCAGCAAACCCGAGTCTAAGCCCTAGAGCTTTGTTTCCACAGAACGATGGCCAATGAAGACCCAGACTCATTCCGTTCCTGTCGGGGCGGTTTAATGCGATTTATTTTATAAACAGCTGGACACGGACCAGGATATTGCCAGGCCAATCCAAATGCCAAAACCACTAGCACCTGCACAGGTTGGGAGTATTAAGCACGTGGCTCACGTGGCATGTGTCAGTATGATGGATAGGCCAGATATGATAGGCTGTAAAGGCATTAAGGAATATCAGAGATTTTAATGGAAATGCAACCAGCATTTGCATCACACAACCGGGGCAATTTGGAAAGCGAAGGGAAAGTGCTGCAGATGTTCCGGATGTATGCCACCGATGCAATGCAAACGCTGCCTCACTATTCAAAACTCACCGTGGAACGTCACGGAAGAAAACGCTCTCTGAGCGGCATTGTCAGTGACCCATAGATACTGTACATGAAAGGAATAATGAAGAAACTTATATACCTTAGTTGCAAAATAAATGTTTTTGCAAATGCAAACCACCAGCGTTTGCAAAGGTTGTTTTGCTTCCAAGTTGTTGGGAGACGAAGGCTTCATAATTTGTGAACATCGGTGATTTGGCGCTGCATAGGATGGGGTGGGTAGGATAGGACTTGGCCACACGATGTTGGGACATTGGCATCGCATGTTGTGAGTTGTGAATGTGGTAGGGTATATATGAGTTCTTGGCTTGTTGCTATGTGGTTATGCAGGGCACATGGGCGCACAGTGCACAGACTGTGATGTGGAGCTGTTGTATGCTGCTGTCAGGCTGTGCCAACTGCCAAGCCAAAAACGGAGACGCGGCGTGGCTTGCTGGGTTGGCTAGCATGAATCTCAGGTGGCTATTGTCGATGCTGAAATCAAAGGTGAGGTTGCTCAGAAGAGACGAGAAGCAAAGCTTATCAAAAGGTACATGGTCTTTTTTTTGGCGCATCTTGAGCGACCAGGCATAGGCATGCATAGGCATTGTTCATCAAAGATGTGTGTTTGAGGATATTTGAGGATCCATATTAACTATAGTTAAATTACTAATTCTGTTTCTCAAAATTTGTTTCTCAAATTGTACAAGTCCTTCTCCCAAAATTCCTGACCTGAGGTGCCCTTTAGTGGATTCTTCGGCGGAGATGAGGATGAGGAGTCCAAGCAGCATTCTGCGGAATGCGGACCATGCAGGGGCGAATCAGGAATGTTTAATGGGCCCTCCACCATGCAGAGATGAGATGAGATGAGATAAGTGTATTTCATTGTATTTCTATGTAACTGTATAGTCGTTTTTGCATGTTTTCGTCATTTTCGCACTGGATAAGTTGCGAGCTTACTGCGTGCCAAAAGTTGCATACAGAACCATTTGTCACTGCCGCTTACTCCAACAGGATTACTTGGAAGACTGCGAAGAGGCAAGACAGAACAAAAGTGACGACTCAATGATGAGGAACTGAGGCGACTGAGGGGTTGGTTGAGGTGCTGTTCTTTGACTCGACCTGGAAAGGAAAGTGTTATGGAGGATGATGAACCAGCTGCGTCCCCGGCACACGCGACAGACCAACGCATGTTCCAGATTGTTCAAGCCAGCGGACTTGCATGATCCATGAGCAACTTCTGAACACTAATTGTCCTGATCTCGCGTTGCAAGCAACGTGATGCTTGAGGTGACAAGATTACAATCACTGTTGCTCTGCGTCAGCGTAGCATCTGCCAAGGACGATTTGCTTCCAAGTCCACCTGAGGTGCAGCTGTGGCACAGGGGGACAGGAGAGATTTGAGTTTTGGTCTCTTGCCTTGAATTGTCACTCCCGCTGCTGTCGGCTCATTTCGTTGCCGTTTCCAAAACCTGAAGCGTCTGCAAGCTAGAGTCATTTCGTATTCGCGTTTTTTTTCCTTTGAAAGCAGGCGCGAACGCTCCATCTGGGTTTCAGCGAAGTTCGGCCCATCAGTAAATGGTTCTGGAAGACGCTCGCGTGCCTTTGCAATGGCTACCCTTCGAGCTGCTGCAGAGAAGGGCGACATCAGCGAGCTAGAGAGGCTATTGGAGGCACACAGGGCGGGAGACTTGGACCTCAGGAGTTCAAGTTCTTGTGGCGGTGGGATGCATGTGTAACGGTTAATTATGCGATATGATATAGCCAGCAGAATCAAGTCGCTTAGGCTTAGTCTAAGTCACAGATTCTGATCATTTAGTCATGTTTGTTTTGTCGTCAAAGGTGCCAGATGATGCCAGCCTCCGAAAGGTCATCAATGCTCAGGCCATTGGTCCGTTTCACGTTCCCTTCATCTTCCACATCCAGAGGGATGAATGGAATGTTAATAAAAATGGATGTATATGTATATAAATCATAATCATGATGTAAATAGCGAGTTATGGCAAGTTTGGTTTACTGCCTGGGTATTGAAGGGTATTGATTGCGTATATAGTCACTAGATGTCACTAGTCCAAGTGGGCAGATGCAGAAATAATTTGAGTTCAGGACCCGGAAACGGACCTGGCTCCATTAGCTTTGGCTGCAGCGGGTGGCCACCACACATGCGTGGCAGCATTGTTGGCGAAACGTTCCTTGCAATGAGTCGGGGAAGAAGTGAACATTCGCATTCACGATCATTCAGACATTCATTTCAACGATTCACTCCAGACTCCATCTTCACTCAATTGTTCTTTGCATCGCTGTGTTTCTGGGTCTAACCATGCAGCTTTGCAGCCTTCAACAATAATTATCTGTAGACTATTGTAGGATAATTAATATGTTCTGCCTTCATGTGACCCTAAAACCCTAAGACATTCTAAAATTTCTAAAGGTTTGCGTCATCCTGCGTTGCAATCAGAACAGCCATCAATCATGATTTCTCCACCCACAGCACACGATGCCCATAGCTGAGGTGCCAACCCTGATGTTCCAGCCGAAGATGCTGGAAATCGCACTGCCCTGCATTTGGCTGCCTATGATGGACATGTGGAGGCACCTCATAGATCATGCGACATCATGCCATTCAATGAATTGTCCTGTCTCCTGTTGCGATGGCAGAGCCTTGGCTGACTGCAGATACTGCAGGTTGTTGGGCTTTTGCTCGAAGCTGGCGCTGATGCGAATGCCCAATGCACTGGAGGCAGGGCCACACTTTTCTTCCAGCAATGTCCGTTCTCAATTTTTTCGTCGACTCCAACATTACCCATTCTTTCCAATTCCGTTTATTGCTGCTCATTTTGTGTCGCCAACTGCGCAGGAACAGCGAAAGACATTATCAGTCAAAGGCACCGATGTTTGCCGCACATTGAAGCCACCGGTTGATCCAAATTAATCGAAGTTATAGAGTGTTCTCAAAGTGGGTACTTGCGCCATATTGTTGGGCTACAATGTTACCAAATGTTACCAACAGACAATGGAAAACAATGGAAAACACTGCCTCTTCCTAAGTCAGACATGCCTGTGCAAGACCGTGGTAGGATCAAAGAGTGGCGGATTGGAGGAGGTGATGGAGAGGAGGACGTGCTTCGCAGCCAGTGTGGCAGGATTTGAGACAGTTGAGACCTTTTTGGAGGTTTCCGAGCCACCTCCCACAGCTCTTCCACTTGGCCTTGCCAGGACATCGATAGTTTGGAAAAGGTTCTAGTCATGCTGAGCGGGGAGAATAGCTAGCAGAACGGCTAACACAGAACGGATAACCATGTTAGTTCCTGGTCAGGTGCTCAGTTTGGAGCGCTCAGAGAAACATGTTTGACAGAAGGACTTTGGCCGAGCGCAAGTGCCACAATATGTGGCAAGTGCGCGGCTCGTACTAGCACCAGCCTGTTTGATGGTGAAAAAACTGCACTGCACTGAACTTGTATTCTAGCAGACTCCAGTATCACAATCATGATTCATGATCACGTGACAAGATCTTCGACGACAATCGCTCGCATCTCATGATGAAATTACGCCGACGCATTTCGCATTTCAATTCAATGAATTTCATATGCCGTGCTCATCGAAAGGCGAAGCGCAGAAGATTGATGGGTTGGCTTCCATGGTGAGCGAGGGCTGCTGCATGTTTTATATCTTTGCATATCTTTGCTAATTCGGGCCAGTACCCTGCAGCACTGTCGGAGAAGATTCAAATAGATTCAATCTTGACATGTTTCAGTGGCATTCAGTAGCTGTGATGTTCAAACTTGTGAAGGAGCCAGTCACTGGGACGAGTGCCATCAAGAAACCTTCTGGCCCGCTCAATTCTGTGCAATTGGGACCCACTATATTTGAGTCCCGTGCATTAAATTCAATGTGATTCCCCGAGCAGAAACCATGCGGCTGCACTGTTTTACTTCTTGGGCAATTGTGAGCTGGAAATCATTGGAAAACCACGCAGCTAGGCAAGCAAGAACTTTTGATGAGATGAGAAAAGTAGCAGAGTAGCAAGTCATGTCAAATCATCATTTACGTGTGAATCTCGCAGCATTTTATTTATACGTATTTATAGCATTTCGATGCATTTTGCCCCTAGGTTCATTCATGTCCATTCCCCAAGCTAACAGCGAGACATGGCATGACATGGCATGACTTGGCAACACTGGTGGTAAGTCATACATCATCCACCATCATTTATTGACAGTCAGCACAGGTGGCATAAGCAGTTCCAGTTCGATTCATATTGTCCAGTCCTTTGCACAGTGTGTTCGAATGTGTGCGAATCACTTCTGTGGACACAGTCTTCGTGGGAAGCCTGCAGCATCCTGCAGCCAAACTTCACCGGTCATGCGCTGTCTCCCTTCAGTCAATTAGCAAATTCGGAAGTGAGGTTGGCTGGAAGGGCGAAGGGTACCACACATACCTACTATCATACTACGGTTTCAGGGCCTGTGGATGCCTTGGGAATCCTTTATATAGATATCCAGATTATCCAGGTGGCAGATATCAGCAATGAAAGCCTGCCATGTAGAACTGGAAGTGACGCCACCTTTTTCTCTCATGGTTTTGGATCATTTGGAAGCAAAGTGCGGGGTCTGTTTCGAAGCATGGTGCCAAAGCTTTATAATCTTTACATAATATGATAAGTCCTGTCTGCCTTCATCCTTGGCATTCTATATCAATGGCTAAGCATTCTAATACGCGACATCTCTCCCAGCCCTATGAAAACCTTCATATGATGGAAGCTCTGAAACACACTACCTGTGTACTTTTCCCACATCGCTAGCAGATGCTAGCAGCAAGCGCTAGCAGACAAAGACAACGGAAGACGCTTTCATAATACCATTTCGCACAGTGTTGGTGTTCACTGTCCTCACAGGCAGCATGTGCAGCAAATGCCGTTCGTGCACGGGTACTGCGTGCAAAAGGGTTACATTATCATCTCGCATACATCAACCCGCCAACCAATCTGTAGGGGAACAAAGACCATGCCTTTGCGATTCAGGTTCCCCACCATGACATTAAAAGTTCAAAGTTCAAAATATCTGGCATGTTTAACGTTTATGCCGCATGCCGCATGCCTCTTTTTTGCATCTTTTTTGCACAAGTAAGAGATTTGATTCGTTGGACTGGGTTTCTATGATGGTTCTAGGCTTGGTCTGTTCAATCACTGCGCGCTCTTTCCCGTCGGATTTTGAAGTGAAGTCTGTGCACCACGCGGCCTGATGTGTGCCCTGGCTGTGCGCCTCCTTCATACGGAGGCTCTTGCCGCAGCATTGAGCAATGATGAGCAATGTGTCTCCGCCTTGGTCACTCAAGATGGGCTGGTTCCAGATGGTTCCAGAACGGCAGATCATTCAAAGGAATTTCAACGGGGGCTGAGACTGGCTGAGACATGTTCCAGCTACCTAGAGGCGAGTAATTAACGCTAATATTTCTATGGAGTTCTTGTCTTTGTGTGCAATCCTCCAGATAGGTCAAACAACTGCATCTCAAGAAGTCCAGTCCTGATGAGGCTCTTTGAGGCTCTGAGATCTTGTGCATAGAGCTTATGGAATCATTTATATGGAATCCAGCTTAAGCAAGCACCGCCTCAACTGCCACAGAGGAAGCCTACAAACCGTTAGAAGCAACAGCTGCAAAAATGCTAAGAACGAAAATGTTCGTGTCAAAGAGGTTCTACGTTGGTCTCATCATATCTCAACATATCTCAACATGTCTCAACATGCCTGGACCTTGGTTGTGCCTTGACTACAGAACCTTCAGCTGTGAGCTGTCCATGTCTGTGTTGGACGAGAGCGTGGAGCCACTGCAGCCGCTGGTTGGCGATGAGGGAGCTCCACGCTTCCGCGCTTCAATGGCTCCGAACAGTCCGAACAGTCCGAACAGTCCGAACAGCATTTGACAAAGCCCTGGTTTGTGAAGCTGCGAGTTGCGGCTTTGGTTGCTGGGGCTGCTGTGGCTTTGTGGCATTTCTCTCCAAGCCTCAAGTCCCTTGCACCCGGCGGCACACTCAAATCCTATGAAGATTCAGACGAGTGGCCTCAGTGGAGTGATGAGGTTGACGAAGGTTGGGATGATGGTGGCAATGATGTGGATGATGGTTTTGGTTCCGGGGCCGGGGAACTTACCAGGCACGAGAGTCAAACAGCTTACGGCTATGGCTCCGCGCCAGAGGTTGCAAACGCCACAGGTATCCATGCTTCAAATGATGTCTATGACGAAGGTCACGGAAGCAATCCAGGCGGATTCTCTGATGGTTGGCTCAGGAATCGTCCCCAAGGTGAGGAACCTACCCCGGCGTTTGGCTATGGAGATGGCTCGGGTACTGCCAGCTTTGATGATGGTTGGGCAGATGAGGAGACTTCCCCTCAGACGACTACGACCACTACCATTCACTTCTATCCTCCACTGCCAGCAATCGGGAAGTATATCAATCACTATAAGGCTTCAAATCCATTGAATATTAAGGTCAAATCAAGCCGCAGTGAGAACTACTTCTTGATTTTGGGGGATTGGGGGAAAGCTGGTGGCCCTGGCAGCTGCCAACTGGCAGTTGCAACTCGCATGCGTGCCTATGTCAAAGAGCAGAAGTTGCGAGGAAAACATTTACTTTTCATCGCCTCTGTCGGGGACAACTTCTATTGGACAGGAGCTACCCCAGAAGCATGGGAACGAACATGGTCGCAACCCTACGGGGTTCATGATCCCAGTTCGCCTTTGTACCAAATTCCATGGCTGTCTTTGTACCTTGGCTGCCTTAGCTGCCTTTGCCCTCGATTCATTGTCGTTCCCCACCTGCCAGATGAGGGTCTCTAGATTTCATCAGATGTGCTTCCTCCTCCTCCTCCTTCTCCCTCAGCAGCCTCGGATCTCAAAGTTCCGGATCTCAGTGGGCACTGCCGGACCTCAACCGGGAACTCCAGATCTCAGTGGGCACTGCTGGACCTCACCCAGACGCCAGATAGAATGCCAGAAAGAATGTCAAATAGAATGTCAGACTAAATATGCCATAATAATCCATAACATATTACCAGATGGTACGTCAGTGTGAAAGGTCCCTGACTCTTTCAACACTGGCAGCAGAAGAAATCAGTCCCACTGATCTAAGTTGATGTTGGTTCCAACCAGAAATGATAGAGGCCTCCAAGCCTTCGAAGGAAATGAAGTGGTCCCACCACCCAGCAAATAGCGGCAGCGTCCCAGCTGCTATGGCACCTGTTTTGGATCGATCGCAATCGGTTTGGTCCCGCCCGCCTACCCTGGTTTGAACCAGGTGCCTGCCGCTTTCGTGGATGCACGGTGGAGTGCAAAGCTGCATGAAAGGCTGTCGCAGCAATGCAAGGATGTGTTCCACATATGGCTGATTCACACTCCCCTAAAAGGATTATTGATTATTGCATTGCTCCCCTAAAAGGATTATTCGTATTAGATTTCTCGTGGGGCCAAGAAACTGCAAGTCGGCGATTGGCATTCGTGCGGAGTACAGATTCTTCGTCAAACAGGCAAAAGACTCCTTTCTGTAGAGCTGTCCTAAGGAGAGTGGGTTCCATAGGTTTAGTGAGTGCATCGGCCAGCATGATGGTTGTTGGTATCCATCGGAACACACAGTGATCCTGACATTGCTCACGAATTAACAAAACCTCCAAAGTGGTTCGAAACTCCTCGCATTGAGGCATGGCAGTTCTGCTTACTAAATCATATAAACTGCGACAATCAGTGGTAATTATGGCCATGGGAAGGCACGCATATGCTTTCGTTGGATTCTGCCATGGGAATTGGGGTACTGCAAATTCGCCCCACAAGAGACGCAGCCATCCCAACCTGTCAGCACTCCTAGACATGGAATACGCTTCAGCGGAGAGCGTGGATCGAACAACACGGGATATTTTCTTTGAAGACCAACTGAGAGGAGAAATAGGGGCTTCTTTGTTGGCATTTAACTCTTCAGTAGTAGCACATATCAAAGAACCCTGAAATGAGGATAATTGTTTTGCGCTGGCAAATGAAGCATCTCCAAAAGAAACATGAGTCACCTTTTCAACAGGAATACTTCTGAAGCAGATTTGAACTTGGGAATTTTCTTGGGCTTCTCGGAGGACTTTGTTACACAGCAACATGGTGCTTACTTTGGGATGTGCCATGTTGGCCTGGACTTCGCCAAGTTTTGCTGCAAGGTCAGGACGAGTGTGGGTTACGGCATACTGCAAGCTTCCCACCAGCGCTCGCAATTTGGATTTCTCACTTTCGGTGAGGGCACTGTCGGGTGTTTCTCTCCGTGGTTTTCCAACATCAATGGCCACAATTCGATGAATATATTCAGATTGTGAGGCTCGAATGCTCGAATCTGGCAATTGCTCAAGTTGAATACCAGTGAATGTGAATTTTCTACTTTTGAAGCTTCCGAAGGCAAGACTTTTGGAAAGTTTCTGCAACTGTTGATGAAAAAATTCGTCTCCACCACAGATTCCATCGTCAACATGCACGCCAAGGATTCCATGTAAGATTCTTTGATTGTTGACATTAGACTCCAACAAAAATACACATGGTTCCAAAGGGTGAACTCGAAAATTAAGATCTTTAAGCTGTTTGGATAACTCTTTATAAAATAGCAAAGGAGCGTCCACCCTGCCGTATGCATTGCCCACGAGGGCGCATACCTGTGCGGCACTGAGATTCAACTTCTTGCGCAGCTCTTCTGGTGGTTCCATCGCCAAAGGATTGTTTTCATCGGCTTTGCCTCGGAGGAACGCTGTCTTGATGTCAAAGCTGGTAAGTTCCCATTGTTTGGATGCAATGTATTGGAGAATGGTACTTCGGCCTTCCTTAGTCAAGGTGGGACTGTCCCTGGCTACATTGGTGAGTTGGGGATCTTGATAGCCTAGTACAACAAGTCGTGCTTTGGCCTTTCGATATATGCTGGTTGGTTTCCATCAGCTTCGACGTTTTTCCACGTCAGCACCCAACGGGATTTCAAAATTTGATCCGGATTCAGGGATTTGCGAAGAATCGGTCTGAGTGCATTAGTGGCAATCCAGCAAGTTAATTCGTTGTCCTTGGCAATGTCGAACAGCTCTCTTTCCTTGGCAGAGAGGTGCTTGACCTGAACTTCAACACGAGCCCTTTGGCCAGCTGCAGCGACGCATGCCATCTCCTCAGGATTAGTCTCTCGACTCCAAGATGCTAAGTCTTCAGCCTTTAGGGGAATTTCAATGCTGTAACATTCTTCTACGGCGCATTCCACTGGACAATCAATGTATGGCATTCCATCTTCAGCTAAGCAAATGGTGTCTGTGACTTGTGCATCTTTGGCAGGAAAGAAAGTATCGAACACATGCAATGCATCTTCATGTGGGAGATTCTGGTCTCTAGGGCTTTCATCCATGATCTCAGTGAGGTTAATCATTTGGAGTAGATGGCCATCTTCTAGGGGATCTTCAACATCACTTTCAAAAGGGGAAATGTCGGATTCTGCAGTTGGTGTATCATTTACTGAATCCCCAGAATTGATGATTGGTGGATGAGAAGCTTCTTGTTCAGGTTGTAGGGTTTCCGGATGTTCAGACTCTGGTAAGTCGGCGGCAATGCTCGGGGAGTATTCGGCATCTATATGATCAGGCTCTTCAACTCGGGGAGTGGCCGGTACTGGAATCTGAGAGACATCATCCAGCAGTCTGGGCATTGTGTCATGCCAAGAGTTCCACTCTCTCAGAGACGCCGGTCGGATGCTCTCCGGAGCTCGACGAATCAACCTATCTGCATGGGACAGCCAGACAATTGAATTACCTTCTTGAACGATCACCTTTGCTGGGCCATGCCATCTTCCAGACTCGCCACGGTTCGGAGTGTGTCGCTTTGTCCAGTAAAGTACCAGCTGTCCAGGTATGTATGGTCCTCCCATAGGTCTAGATTGTCTGAAGGGGGCTCTCCGAATTGCTTCAGTATTATCTGCTAGAATGAAGGCTTGTCGAGCCTGAGTTCGTCGACCCAGGAGTTCACGAAACCGCTCACACTCCAAATCATTTCCCAAGGCCAAGGCATGTGCGGCGGATGCCGCATCATCGGACGTGAGTGATGCTGGCAGCGCGGTTGACTTTCCTAGAACAACCTGCTCAGGGGAATAACCATTCTGTTTGGACAATTGGTTTTTGGCCTGGCAACTCAGTGTCAACATTTCATCAAACTGATTGGTGCTTTCAAAGGGTTGTTCAGCATCTAAGCGGTGTAGCATATCTTTCAAGATTGCTCCATGTCTTTCAATGCGACCCCTTTGCCAAGCTTCTGCCGTCATGTGCACATGAGTGTTGTAGTTGTGGGCTTGCATGAAAGACAACCATTGGTCAGCACGAAATTCACCGGCTGGGTCCAGATATAGATTCTTAGGAAAACCTGCCCACAGGGCCCACACACTTTGGAACGCAGGTATCGCATGATCCAGGTTACGTCCATCCAGACGTTTGGCAAGGTGAAAACCTGAGGCTTCATCATACATATGAAGAACATAACATTGGAATCCCCGCTTACCCCTCCAGAAAAAACCATCTATCCCGAGAACATCATTAAACTCTCTGGGTGGATGTAGCTTGGCTGGACGTTGATGACGTGGTCTCTGAGTCTCTACACATGCATCGCATATAAAATCGGCCGCTGCTCGGACCACATGTTCTGGAGCCTGTTGCGCTTTCAGATGAGCGGACAACACTTTGGGATCCGGATGACCCAAGTTCTTATGCAATTTCACCAAATCTTGTTTTTCTTCAGGAGACAGGGCTCGGAAGCAAGGTCCGTGCAATGGTGTAGGCAGTGGGGCCCAGCCTTCGCAAATGGTTGGCAGCTTCGGCTGAGCAGATTTCGGATGCACAGCTCTTGCAACACTGTCGGCAGGTCTCAGGGGGTCAGCGGCATCATGTTCTGTACTTGGTGGGATTGATTCCTCATGAGGTGATTGAGGTGGATTCCCAAAAACTGTAATGGTCAATCGGCTAGGCATATTACTAGCGATGCGCTGGGCTCTGGTCATAGGATGCCAATGTTGGGTACCTAGATCATAGAGGTTTCCGTTGGCACGGTGCATGCATATCGTGCGTCTCAAAGGGGCATCATGAGAGGATGGTGCTGAAAGAGGTACTTGAAATCGGTTTGTTCCCCGGCATACAAAAAGGCTGTGGATGTTGATTTCTGATTCGACAAGTTGTTGAACAAATTCATGCAGATCATGAGCTACTTCACACTTGAGGTTACCGACTCGTGGAGCGATTCTGTGAGCCATTCGAAAGGCTTCATGCCACAGGGACTCGGCGTCAATGGCTTGCGCAGCAGGGCTTGCGGACACATGGTCGTCCGCTGGAACATCCGTGTGTTCATCACTCGGAAGTGCTCTCTTATTTTGAGAAGGACACACTCGACTCCTTTTGGAAGGTGGTTCATCTTCATGAACAAAACTGTCAAGCACTTGACCTGAATGATCTTCACACATCGCCCGGGCAAAAGCTGAGGCAAAACCATGACAGTAAGTGGCACAAAAGGTGGACGTCCGAATGGATCGTCCTTCGTGGTACATCGTTCCAGCGACTGGTGCATGTTCATGATCGCCTTTGCATCTGACACCGTACAAACGCTGGAGGATGTTTTCAGACGTTGTCCAAATTTGGCTGCTTTTTCGGAGATTTATCCGTGTTGGGAATCTTTAGTCCAAATCTGCACATGTCAAAACATACTTGCTGAGTATTCTTGGAAATTGGTTGGAATTCGGGTGTGTGGATCATCGCTGAACCGCTCGGCTGCTCAAGATGGAATTGTCTGTTTCTACGGACTTGGTATTGGCACAATTGCGCACACAACCGGATATGACATTTCTCCTGAGCTTGGCGATCTTGGACATGATTCCACAGGGCTACACTTTTCTGAGCATTTAGACGGTTCCATCCACCCCAGGGGCCACACTCTGGAGCAACAAAAATGTGATCCGGCTGAATGGAATCTATCAGTTTCCACAACTTCTGTCGGCCTGAGAATGTGGACAGATCACCATCAAGCTTCGTGAAGCGGTATGCTTGGGCACCTAAATCTTGCAAACAAGACGTCAGTGGACTGTGAACACCTGCGTACACTTCCAATGTCACCAACTTACGTCTGAGGAAATTTGGTTTCGGGGCTGACACAAAAACATCATCGACAATCTGTTGAGCGGCAGTTAAGGAAGCTTCAATTTCTTGATTGTACTTTTGTTCTGCTCTTTGTGGTTGGAAACGAGAACACTCTACTTGACATGATTGAACCATCTTGGCAAGATTGGCGTCCAGGCTCAGGAGTGACGACGGACATTCACGGCCTTCAGACGATCTTGGGTAGCATCTGCTTCCAGCTGAGCCCGGCAGTAGTCCACAAAGTCCTGTTGATGAGGAGGAAGTGATCGGTACCTCTGCAGACTCCATTCGAAGTAACCCATGTCCTCCGAGAGTACCTGGTAGTACGTCTTGCCAGGATGCTTCTTTCCCCATGTCACTTTTCGCTGACCCCATTCGGCCAGTGTCAGCTGCATTGGGGCTGGGTCTCCATAGATCTGCACCTGGTAGGCATGCTCGTTGGGCAAGGTTGGTGTGCTGTGAGAGGCCGCTGTCTCCCTGGTTGGACTCTTCTTGGGCTTTTGGATCGTTTTGGCTGCAGTTGAGGTGGCTTGCGCCGATGATATCACGGAGAAGTCGTCGTTCTCCTCGTCGCTCAGTGTTGCCGATATCGGCATGGAATCGGCATTCATGTTGAGGGTTGGTATGGTCATCATGGGAAGTCCCTGTGTCGGCATCTTCTTGTTCTGGCTCTCGGCAAGGCGTTGAAGCAAAGCTCTCTGCCTTGACATCTCTTGACACTTGACACATGGCTTGTAGCTGATTGGTCAGCTGTGGCATATGTTCTTCCTCGGCATGGTCCGGGGAATTCACTTCGATCATGTTCATGGACACTTGAAGGACCAATGTCAAGGTTCCCATGATGGTGTTGGCCGTTTCCTTCAGCATGTGGATGGCTGCTTCTCGATTCGACATGGTGAGAAATCACACGGTTCGAAGAGTGCGGAACTTGCTGATCACTGGAACACGATGGCTTCGTGTGTGCACTGCTGAACGGCCGTCTCTGAAATTTGGTTTTCTCACAGTGAGTCTTTGTCTCCCTACCGGAACATGTAATAGCCCCTACATGACTGGCATTCCCTACAAAGACTGGTGTCTGGGGTTCTCCCTCCACAAAATGCGGTTGACAAAACTCGGACATGTCCAACAGATACAAGCCAGTGGAATTAGTGCGCAGCGAAATGGACTTTTGCAATCTCGTCAGGGTGCACTGGTCTGTGGTGGTATCCAGGATTCCACCCAACTGCTTAAAGGCACGTTTGGAAAAGAGAAAAGGTGTTTTGCCCTCAACAACTTCCACTCCCAGCCAGACTCTTTCATGTGCTGACCCTTGCAAAGGCAACAAAACACGATACATGCTGGTCAGTGTTTGATTATTTCCAAACCTGAACTTGATCTGACTGGGTTTCTTTTGCACAGTGGATCGAATGTCTTCGGGCAAACGCTGCAAAAGTTGGTCCAGCATTTTGGAACCAATGATACATCGACTGGCACCTGTGTCGAGGATAGCATGAGCTCCATGGTCCTCGGATGCATGAAGTACTGGCAGGCTCGGAAGGACTTCAACGTTCGTTGTCCTGGCAGGCATTGGGCATGGTGGGTTCATTCTTTCTCCACGGCGGGGCTTGTACAACTCTGCATGTGCAGAGGGCATCACAGGCGGACATTTGGAAGGGCTTTTCAGTCCCATTTTGTGCATCATGTTGCCCACATGTTTATTTAGCTTATTCTTATTGAGGGGGTTATTCCATGGAGTGTGAATCAACATGAAACATTCCTGTACACCGCTGGACTCACTACGGATGGGCACCTGCTTCACTAAGTCGGCATCGGTGAAGATCTCCAAGTCATCATGGGCATCATCCGCATCAGGTGGGTCCATTTCGACCACATTAGCGGCAGCTGCAGCTGGTGGATTCGCAGGAGGAGGAGCACTTGCGCCATCGCGCTGGGGGCATTCGGCCTTCCAATGTCCCATCTGATTGCACAGACGGCATCGGCTCTTGGCAATGTTTGCCAACAGGTTCTGCCGGCCAGAGCTTTTCCCTTTGAAGGACATCTTGCCTTTGCCCTTCCCCTTGGTTTGGCCAGGTGGCCAAAATCCCCTGGCACGACGTTTGTCCTGGAGACGTTGTCGTGCTTCCATGTAGGAGATCATCGCCAAGTGCATGTCTGGTGTGTCCTGGATGAAGTCTTCAAACTCATTCTCAAAGGCCTGAACGCTGAGAGCATCTGGGTCATCCTGGGATATCAAAATCTCCATCATCTCAGCTGGCAACTCATCATCGTCCACAGGCGCTGATTGCATCGCCACATAGGACATCTCAGATGTCTCCTTCTCATCGGACACCACTAAGGAGTCATAGACCTTCGTCTTGGTTGCAGTCTTTCCAGACTGCACTTCATGGAAAAATCTGCTGCCCAGAAGTCGAACGGCTTTCATCACCGGTTGGTACTTGAGCTCTTTGTGCTCTAACAACACCCTCTTCTTGTCTTCTGGGGCCAACGTCGACTGTCTTGAGAGGACGTAGGCCTGCACTTCTTCCAGAGTTGTTCCACGGCTCAGCAACTCAGAGAACACAGCCTCCATTCGTGAGATGAAGCTGTCATTGGATTCATCGCTTTTCTGCAGGGTGCCATAGAGTGCCTTCTCGAAAAATTCGAAACGCTCCTCAAAGTCAGTCGCACCCCAGCTCCCACCAATTGCCTTCACTAAGGCCTTGACGCCATCCAGGCTCTTCACCTTCAGCTTAGATGCGTCCAGCTTGGCAATGGTGGCAAATGCTGATCCTTCGACCAGCAAAGCGGCACGTGGTGCCAGTAAATCCAGGTGTTCTGTCGGCCACATGGCCGCAAGGAACTCCAACTTTTTCACGTAGTCCTGGACATTTGTCGTGCCCGGCACGAATTTTGGAATTGCAGTCCATGGCAGTTGCGCCGTAGAAATCGTCGACGCAGACCCAGGTCCATCCACAAAGTCATCAGGCACTGGAGGAAGAGCAGATTCTTGCGCAGACATTGGTCTCCTGGATCACCGGCTCTTGCGAAGCCAAGTTTGGCAACGGAGCAACCTGGCTCCGCTACCAGTGTGAAAGGTCCCTGACTCTTTCAACACTGGCAGCAGAAGGAATCAGTCCCACTGATCTAAGTTGATGTTGGTTCCAACCAGAAATGATAGAGGCCTCCAAGCCTTCGAAGGAAATGAAGTGGTCCCACCACCCAGCAAATAGCGGCAGCGTCCCAGCTGCTATGGCATCTGTTTTGGATCGATCGCAATCGGTTTGGTCCCGCCCGCCTACCCTGGTTTGAACCAGGTGCCTGCCGCTTTCGTGGATGCACGGTTGAGTGCAAAGCTGCATGAAAGGCTGTCGCAGCAATGCAAGGATGTGTTCCACATATGGCTGATTCACAGTCAGAAACTATATATATATATATATCTGACATAGTGCTTCAGGGTGGAGATCACTCGAAGGAAGTAATTTGATTTTTATTTTTACATACGTATGTTTACAAATTTTTACCGAAATTCCACAACCGAAAACCCGGGGCGACTGTTAGGTTAGGCTAGATAACCTTCCAGCAATTCCTGCATCTTTCTGCATTGTTTCTGAATGTCCCGCACAGGTATGGCAACCACGACTTCGGCAACAACGACCCACATGCTTTTTGCCCACACCTGTACCCGCGAAAGATCCTGCATGGCCAACCCTATTCCAGCCATCAATTGAATAGGGACAAATTTCCGGACAGACCGCACTTCACTGAGAAGTACTGGCTTCCAGACTACAATTATCACTACGAACTTCCTGCAGCAGATCTGGAAGTCATTGTGGTTGACACAAATGGAAAAGTGACACCTGACATCATTGGCGGGGATCAAGGTGGACGGAATAAGGCTGATGCAAACTGCAGCGGCCAGGCAATATCTCAAGACTTTCTGGAAAAGATAGCTCAGTCGGGTGAAGATCTTGTGATTGAGCGCGCAAAGCAAAACACAGCAGGCACCATCTTGCTCCTTCAGCACTACCCAGGGAAATGCCCCCGAGAGACATTTGAGAATGCCTTACCAGCCAGCCGGAAAGAAAAAGTGAAAGTGCTTTGTGCTTATGGCCACGAACACACCCAAGGCTGTGAAAAGAAAGACAAGTCAGGCATGTGCATAGATATCCTGACGGGTGGTGGCGGAGGCTGTTGCGGCCCAATAGTGGATCTGGCAGGGTTCACTGCTGTGCACTTGGACAGTGGATTTGGGGCATCTGTCGATGTGGAGAGCTCATCAGTTCGCTTACCAGCAGGCAGTTGCAAGTGGTGAAGGTGGCTGTTTGGGGAAATTGCGAGAAGATCTAAGGCATCCTTTGACGGAAACCAAGCATTTCAAGCACATGTGAGTGATTCCTTGCAAAACCCTTTTCCATCTTTTCCAAGTCCAGAATTCGCATAGATTATCATAGCTTCATATCTTATCACACTATTGATTTTATCCGATTTTATACCAAGACTAGCTTTGCAGCCAATGTAGAGTTGCAAGGGCAAGGTGAAGGTGGAACGAAACACGGTATATACTCAAGAGAAACCGCCAACTCTCAGGGCAATTGGCCAGGCAATCTGCAGGTATCAGTTGCACAGATTCATGGTGATTTAATGTGATTTATGTTGAACAATGCATCCTGTTTGCATTTTTCTGACGTTTCCACGCCCTTGTTATTGCAAACTCAGCGCCTGGATGGTGTAGCAATGCCGAAGCTTGGCACGTCTGATCCTGTCAAACAGCATCGGAGTGTGTTGTACATAGATGGCTCATGTCAAAAGGCATTGCCAATGAGTACGAAGGAGCGCTTGAGGAAAACGGCTTTCAAGCCAAGAATCGTGGATTATGCTTGGTGCACTCTACTTATCCCCAGTTGAAGTTCATGCGGAAACCACACAGTTGAGAGTAATGAGCTTCTTTTGTCGACTGGTTGCCTTTATTTTCTATATTTTCGCCTGTTTTGCAGACCTCTGAGTTTCGGACTATGCCATGTGCCGGACTCATAAGCATCTTTCGTTACTTTAGATTGGAGACAGAGCATCAGGTCGCCAGCCCAAGTGCATGGATGGTGTGACCACGTGTGACCCCCAGATTTCCTTGCCAAGTTGACAGTAGTAATGCATTAAACAAGCAGCAAGGGTCTGCAGGTGAGATCAGTTTCCGTGCTTCTAAATATTCTTGGCATTTCATTCTGGTTGGGCATGGTCCGGCCTTATCATTGTTCTGTTCTTGCAGTTGGTATGCCGCACTTCCGAGGGCTAGCTAGCGTGATTGCATTGCCCCAAGACTGTACCGCAACTCCGGAAATATGGATTGAGAAAGCCGGCTGACAGACATGTCAGATACCATCGATGACTCAACCCATTTTCACACGCTCATGCCCTCTTGCAGAGTGTCACCGGATGTCACCGGTGTTGCGAGCGAACAAACAATAGCACACAGTACTACACAGTAACAAAATGTTTGTCTGGCGGCCTGGCGAGCAAACTCAAGGCTCTGTGAGCATGAAATAGAGAGAAAGAATCGAAAGAATGCGAAAGTCAGCAAACAAGTCAAGTGAGTTCGCTGTTGTGAAGAGGCAAGAAACGTAATGAAATCCATTTTGACTTGGCTCCGGCAAATCAGAAAGTTCCAAACATTTAGTCATTCTGAATGTCAAGTATAGATAGATGCATCTAGAATCATCTAGATGCGTTGTGTTGATCCATTCCGTTCAGTTCGATTTGTCATCTTGGTAGTTGCAAGTGAGACCGGAATCAAGGGGACGGGGACCGGAACATGGTGAAAACATGCTTGAAACATGTTGAAATATGTTGAAACTGCCCGTTCCTCAACGATTCCGGGACGTCTTGGATGGTTCGGTATGGATGGCGACGCCTTCGAAGCCTTCGAAGCCTTCGGCCACGGGCCGCAGTTGCCGCAGTGCCTGGACTTTGGGCCACGCGCGATCCAGGACATGAGGCCTGGCAAAATGTCAACTTCATTACACTTCACCAAGAATAATAACAATATAATTATATAATACTATATAATATGCTAATGAGTTTCTAATGAGTATCTAATGAAAATCTCATGAGTACCTATTGATTTTCTAATGAGTATCTAATGAATATCTAATGAATATCTAATGAATATCTCATGAATATCTCATGAATATCTCATGAATATCTAATGAATTCCTAATGAATATATCTAATGAATATCTAATGAATATCTCATGAATATCTAATGAGTTCTAGTGAGTATCTAATGAATATCTAATGAATATCTAATGAATATCTAATGAGTATTTAAATAGAATATCTAATGAGTATCTCATGAATATCTAATGGGTATCTAATGAGTATCTAATGAGTATCTAATGAATGTCTCATGAGTATCTAATGAGTATCTAATGAGTATCTAATGAATATCTAATGAGTATCTAATGAGTTTCTAATGAATATCTAATGAATATCTAATGAGTATCTAATGAATATCTAATGAGTATCTAATGAATATGCTAATGAGTATCTAATGAGTTGCTAATGAGTATCTAATGAATATCTCATGAATATCTAATGAGTATCTAATGAATATCTCATGAGTATCTAATGAAAATCTAATGAATATCTCATGAATATCTAATGAGTATCTAATGACTATCTAATGAGTATCTAATGACTATCTAATGAGTATCTAATGAATATCTAATGAGTATCTAATGAATATCTAATGAGTATCTAATGAGTATCTAATGAAATGAGTATCTCATGAGTATCTAATGAATATCTAATGAGTATCTAATGAATATCTCATGAGTATCTAATGAATATCTAATGAGTATCTAATGAGTTTCTAATGAGTATCTAATGAATATCTAATGAGTATCTAATGAATATCTCATGAGTATCTCATGAGTATCTAATGAATATCTAATGAGTATCTAATGAATATCTCATGAGTATCTAATGAATATCTAATGAGTATCTAATGAGTTTCTAATGAGTATCTAATGAATATCTAATGAGTATCTAATGAATATCTAATGAGTATCTAATGAATATGCTAATGAGTATCTAATGAGTTGCTAATGAGTATCTAATGAATATCTCATGAATATCTAATGAATATCTAATGAATATCTAATGAATACCTAATGAATATCTAATGAATACCTCATGAGTGTATCTAATGAATATCTAATGAGTATCTAATGATGAATATCTAATGAATATCTAATGAGTTTCTAATGAATATCTCATGAGTATTAATGAGTATCTAATGAATATCTCATGAATATCTCATGAGTAGCTAATGAGTATCTAATGAATATCTCATGAATATCTAATGAAAATCTAATGAATATCTCATGAATATCTAATGAGTATCTAATGACTATCTAATGAGTATCTAATGACTATCTAATGAGTATCTAATGAATATCTAATGAGTATCTAATGAATATCTAATGAAAATCTCATGAGTATCTAATGAGTATCTCATGAGTATCTCATGAGTATCTAATGATTATCTCATGAGTATCTAATGAATATCTAATGAGTATCTAATGAGTTTCTAATGAGTATCTAATGAATATCTAATGAGTATCTAATGAATATCTAGTGAGTATCTAATGAATATGCTAATGAGTTTCTAATGAGTTTCTAATGAGTATCTAATGAATATCTAATGAATATCTCATGAATATCTAACGAGTATCTAATGAATATCTAATGGGTATCTAATGAGTATCTAATGAATACCTAATGAATATCTAATGAATATCTAATGAGTATCTAATGAGTATCTAATGAATATCTAATGAATATCTAATGAATATCTAATGAGTGTCTCATGAATATCGAGTATCTAATGAGTATCTAATGATTTTCTAATGAGTATCTAATGAATATCTAAAGAATATCTCATGAATATCCCATGAATATCTCATGAATATCTAATGAGTATCTAATGACTATCTATTGAGTATCTAATGACTATCTAATGAGTATCTAATGAATATCTAATGAGTATCTAATGAATATCTAATGAATATCTAATGAATATCTCATGAATATCTAATGAGTATTTAAATAGAGTATCTAATGAATATCTAATGAATATCTAATGAGTATCTAATGAATATCTAATGGGTATCTAATGAGTATCTAATGAATATCTAATGAATATCTCATGAGTATTAATGAGTATCTAATGAATATCTCATGAATATCTCATGAGTATCTAATGAGTACCTAATGAATACCTAATGAATACCTAATGAATATCGAGTACCTAATGAGTATCTAATGAGTATCTAATGAAAATCTCATGAGTACCTATTGATTTTCTAATGAGTATCTAATGAATATCTAATGAATATCTAATGAATATCTCATGAATATCTCATGAATATCTCATGAATATCTAATGAATATCTAATGAATTCCTAATGAATATATCTAATGAATATCTAATGAGTATCTCATGAATATCTAATGAGTTCTAGTGAGTACCTAATGAATATCTAATGAATATCTAATGAGTATTTAAATAGAATATCTAATGAATATCTCATGAATATCTAATGAGTATCTAATGAATATCATAATGTGTATCTAGTGAGTGTCTAATGAATACCTAATGAATATCTCATGAATATCTAATGAGTATCTAATGAGTTTCTCTAATGAGTATCTAATGAATATCTAATGAGTATCTAATGAATATGCTAATGGGTATCTAATGAATATCTAAAGAATATCTCATGAATATCTCATGAATATCTAATGAGTATCTAATGACTATCTAATGAGTATCTAATGACTATCTAATGAGTATCTAATGAATATCTAATGAGTATCTAATGAATATCTAATGAATATCTAATGAATATCTAATGAATATCTAATGAGTATTTAAATAGAATATCTAATGAGTATCTCATGAATATCTAATGGGTATCTAATGAGTATCTAATGAGTTTTTAATGATTATCTCATGAATATCTCATGAATATCTCATGAGTATCTAATGAAAATCTAATGAATATGAATATCTAATGAGTATCTAATGAATATCTAATGAATACCTAATGAATATCGAGTATCTAATGAGTATCTAATGAAAATCTCATGAGTATCTAATGAGTTTCTAATGAGTATCTAATGATTATCTAATGAATATCTCATGAATATCTAATGAATATCTAATGAATATTTCATGAATATCTAATGACTATCTAATGAGTATCTAATGACTATCTAATGAGTATCTAATGAATATCTAATGGGTATCTAATGAATATCTAATGAGCTTCTAATGAGTATCTAATGAATATCTAATGAATATCTAATGAGTATCTAATGAGTTTCTAATGATTATATAATGAATATCTCATGAATATCTCATGAATATCTAATGACTACCTAATGAATATCTAATGAATATCTAATGAGTATCTAATGAGTTTCTAATGAGTATCTAATGAATATCTAATGAGTATCTAATGAATATCTAATGAGAATCTCATGAATATCTAATGAGTATCTAAATAGAATATCTAATAAATATCTAATGAATATCTAATGAGTATCTAATGAATATCTCATGAATATCTCATGAATATCTAATGAATATCTAATGAATATCTCAGGAATATCTAATGAGTATCTAAATTGAATATCTAATGAATATCTCATGAATATCTAATGAATACCTAATGAATATCGAATGAATATCCAATGAGTATCTAATGAGTATCTAATGAATATCTAATGAGTATCTAATGACTATCCAATGACTATCTAATGAGTATGTAATGACTATCTAATGAGTATCTATAGTAGCCAGGATAGTAACATATGCCATGTAGATCACATGTCCATACATGTTCCAACTCTACTGTGTATCCAATGAGTATCTAATGAGTACCTAATGCGTATCTATAGTAGCCTCGATGGTATCATATGCCATGTAGATCACATGTCCATACATGTTCCACATACCACATCATGCCACGAATATGTCATAATATGTATGTATTTGGTGTAAAGATCGTTAAACATGATCGAATATATGTGTATTCAGATGCATTCGTACGTTACATGATGTTATAGTAACTGTAAGAACAGTTATAAGTTATAACATGTTTTAACTGTGATATAATTTTTATAATATATTATACGCACATGTGTTGCCAGGCATTGACTTGGGAGATTTGGATGCCAGGGCGCCAGCTACGGCGTCAACCTTTGCAGTGGGGCGGAGAGCTCCAAGTTGCCTGGCACAGGGAGACAGGTACCATTGGACCATCAGTACCACGAGATGTACGAGATGGACTGCATGTGTTAGCTATTTATATCTATTTATAGCATTTTTGCATTTTAATGCAGTTTAATGCATGCTAGTTGATGAGTTTAACATAGTTAAAAAAAAACTATGTTTTAGCTAGTTGATTAGTTGGATAAGAGATGATTGCCAGAACTGCCAGACCCGCCGAGGTCACAGCGCATAAAGCAACATCAACCCAGTTGCTGCCTGATGGAGTTTCGCAGGAATGGCGGGTGCTCCGGTTTATCCCTGAGAAGTCCAGCTCAAATCTGATTCAGGCTGGTGAGAAACACATCGAAGCGCGCAAAGATGTGCGCAGAAAGTCACCGTTAAACGTCTTTTTTTCTTCACCGTACCTTGTGACATGTTTTCTCACTTGAGGCCCGATGGCCATGTAGGAGAAAATTGTTGTGATACAATGATAAACAGGGCGAGTACATCAAAACAAGGATTTGCACCTTCCTACTATGAGAATCTTGTAAAAATTATCAGCAACGCCAACACCTGGTCTAGGCCATCAACAAAGTCTCGATCGACGCTGATGGAAAGCTGATAGAGCAGTGCAGGAACTGTTTGTTGATGCCCTACACCAAATCGATTGTAAGTGCCGTCCTCACTGGGCTGGTTATGGTTCATGCACCTGTATTTGAGGAGTTACAGGAAGACAAAGTGGGAGAGAATGACATATCTAACGGATCTAATGCCGGGCAACGTGAGCCACGAATTCTTTGCGTCGGATTTGGCGGTGGCAGCATTCCATCATTTTTGGCAGAGATGCTGCCACAATGCCACGTGGATGTTGTGGAGTTGGAGCCTGCAGTTATCCAGGCCTCATCAGACTTGGGCTTTCAGCAGGACAAGCGCATCCACGTGACTGTGCAAGATGGTGCTGTTTTTGCTCATTGTGCAGTCGAAAGTGGCACTGGCTATGACGCTGTTATTGTCGATGCTTACGATGCTGATGGAAACGTCCCAGCCACCTTTGCGACGGAACACAGTGCCTTCTTTGAGGCGTTGAAGAGAGATGATTGGACAAAACGCTTCAAGATGTGATGTTTGCTGGCGTTTTCTTTGCGTGCTAGTTGTGTTGCTGGTGTTGGTTATATGAAATTGTGTACATGAATGTGCGTTGTTGCTGCCTGAATTGGACACTGTTTGCAAGGCATTGGCCTCCGGTCTCCTTGCAAGTCGTGGTGTTTTGGTGACCAATTTTCTGCCGGGCACTGACTTGGCGCCAGTTCTGATGCGTCAGGCGGAGGCCGGATCGCAGCACTCTTTTCTTGGATGTGCTTCAAGAAACAAAATGAAACAGGAAAAAAAACAATATATATATATATATAGGGATATATATATATACCCGCAAAACCCTTGTCTCGCCGTCGCCACAATTGTCATTCGTCCCTTTCGAATTTTGCTCCTCATGCAGGCGAAACCCTTTTTTTCTATGTTTAAGTTCAAAAAATGCATTTTGACCTGCGGCCACCAATGAATTTGAGCACGTCCATTTTGCGTGGCAGGCGCAGTGTTTTATGACCTTGCAAAAAAATCGTATTGCATTTTCACTGGCAGGCGCGCGACTTTTTGCGTTTTTGGATGGATGTTGCTTGGCGAGCCACACATGTTTGTTCATTTTGTTTCAGAATGCATCTTGACCAAATTCGACCAAAGCAGTTGGCAAAATTTGAGCATATTTGAGCTGATGAATCTGATCCACAACCACTGGGGCAAGAGCTCCGAGGCAAGAAACCGGGAGATCTTCCGAGCACGGTTGACAGCCGGAAAGATCATTCGCAACCAGGATGAGCAAGGCCAGCTCAGCTGGCCAGCTCAGCTGGGGCTTGTGTTCTTGTTGCCTGAACTTTTGCAATCTTTTGCATATTCATCTATTGGCTTCCCTGCCACGGCGATACCCATGCGTTTCACCTTGCTAGTGCCAGGTTGGATTGGAGTGCCAGTGACAAGATGGATGTTTCTTGGTTTTATCCAGCGTGGCACTCCAACGAGCCAAATGTTAAGACTTCTCATCAATTTGTCGATGCTCTTGCAGATCAGTTTTGTGAGAATCACATCACGTGACTTTCCTCTCTCATTTTCAATGTCTTGCAGTTCGCAAGAAAGAGAGAGAGAGAGAGAGAGCTTCAGCTTCCTTTTTGATTCTCGTTCTTTACTTCCTTGCTGAATCTCGCAGCCAAGGATTGGATCCGATGGTGAATATAAAGCCATTGGCATCAGGGAGAAGTGCATCAGACCTGGTAGGGCGACTCGAGACTGGCTTCATCCGAGAAGATCTGAAGAGATTTGAGCGGCCAATGCGGTGACAGAGAGGGGTGCTTAGGACAACTCCGGGATATGGGCCTTTAGCTTTGAATAGCTTTGATGTTGGGGCCTACAGGAAAGCTTTTGGTGAAGCCTGTTTGATTGATAACTTATAATAGATAGCCATTTGCTGCGCTCGCTCCCCTGGCCAATCCTTAGAGCAAGTTGCATAACTTTAGAAGGGACATGGAATGACCTGAATGCAAATGAAAGCAGGGCGATTGTGAGTGCCCCACATGGCATTTGCAGAACCCCTTTTAGAGTAGTTTGGGGCACTCAATATCTTCATCAGATTTCATCAGAAATGCACTGAATTTGGGGTGAGTTGCAGTTTGAAGATCAGAGTGGCTTGGGACATTCAAGACATTTCCCAGGAGGTCCCAGAAAGACTCCGAGCGTGGGGTGGGTCATGTTTTGAAGGTGTTTGAAGATTAGTTTCCCCCGTGCATTCCATTTTGGGTCCATGGCAAGAGACAGGCAGACAGGTTGAGTAGCAAATCTCGGACTATGGTTTGTGCCCAGGCTGCTGGCAGTCCAGTGGTGCAACTGGACGCCCCAGCAACTGATGGAAAAGTTGTGGCACAAGGCCCCCAATGTGACCTTTTGTGCAAGCATGGATCGACATGTGGCAGTGCAGCAGCACGGAAGAACATCATCATTATTCAATGATGTGTTGCAAGGGCTTGGGCTCACATGTTAGTGAAAGCCACGCTATAGGTTGTTTACTACTTGATATAATGGAAAGGCAAACAGTTGATTTTGAAGTAACTGTATAGCCGCTCTGACACATCATGACACGGCACTTCGAACCACTGATTCTCAGGCTGCGCTGCAGCCGTCTCCAACCATGGACAGACGTGAACATCCATGAGCATCAATAGTGGAGGATGCAAGCATTATCCCAGCACGCACCAGCATATCACAGCATATAGCAAGGCTTACAGCATGTAACATTCCAAGAGAGCTCCAAATCATGCCAGACATGAAGACACCAGTGGCCCTGCCTCTACGGCTGCTCCTCAAGTGATTCCGCAATAATCATGTCCGATGATCGTGGTCTCTCCAAGGTGGTGTTCACGAAACTTACAATGGCCATTCTTGAGGAACATCACGTGCCAGATGCAAAGAAGATCAGCGACAAATTGTGGATGGCAGGAAAAGGCTCCAAAGAAACGCAAGAGCGGCAAATCCAACTGGGTGAAATGGGCAGAGAAACGCAACAACAATGGTGGTGCCAAGGGAGTTGCTGAAGAGATGGAAATTCAGGAGGTGGAGAATGTTTTCGTTTTAACTGGTTGTGGCGCCGCTTCCTTCATTTGGGGGGGGTTCGGGGGGGGTGGGGGTGGGGGCATAATAACGTCCTTTCGTTCCTGTCCAATGATGTTACGTTCTTGGCTTTCTTCTCTTTATTTTATTACGTCGATGATGTACTTTGTTGACTTCGTCTCTAGATGTGAATACGTCAATGATGATACGCTCTTGCCTTTCTTCTGGTTGTGACGCCGCTTCCTTTATTTGGGGGGTGGGGTTCAGATGGGGGGGTGGGGGTGGGGGCATATAATAACGTCCTTTCGTTCCCGTCCAATGATGTTATGCGCTTGGCTTTCTTCGGTGTTATGTTAAGACGTTAGTGATGTTACGCTCTTGGCTTTCTTCGGTTTTATTTTAAGACGTCAGTGATGTTACGCTCTTGACTTTCTTCGGTTTAGGCTTTCTTCAGTTTATGTTAACACGTCAGTTATGTTACGCTCTTGGTTTTCTTCTGTTTATGTTCAAACAAACACTGCGGTGACAGAACGCTCTTGGGAGAAACACTTCCAAAAAAAACCTGAAAAATATTCAGGTGCTTGCCGCCGCAAGCTTGCATCGGCAGCCAGGACTGAAAGCAATCCTGAACGCAATGACTGTCTATAGAAAAGATTGCTTGGCAGGGATAGTAAAACTATCTCCATCAGACGCCTTCAAGGTAGCAAAGCTACACTGGATGTCGTGAAGCACGGGAAAAGAAAGATGCTGATGTGTGGGCAGATGGCGTTTTGCGACATTTTTCCATTGGAAATTTCCAGAAATCATGACAAACCCCCGCTTTTAAGCAGTTTCAGCCAACGGCGAGACAGGGGTTTTGCGCGTATATATGTATTGGATATATTGAAACGGAACCCTAAGAAACCTAGATTCTTAGAAGGAACAAGATGGAATACGCATGCACTTTGCTGAATGATGAGGATCCTGTTCGCTATTCCTCTGAGGATTCCTGCAAATTCCTCGGGATTCCTGGGATTCCGTCGTCTTGTTATTTTGTGATTTTTGTGCGGATTTGCGTGGCATCGAAGGCTCTGAGTCACCGATCAGATTGCCTTTCTTTTGCAATTCAAGCTGAGGGATCTGGCATCTTGTTTGCGAATGGCAGTGATTCGAAGAACGGGGAGTGGATACAAGATGATACAGTGGAGTGAATTCGCAAAGACCAGTGGATACGACATGATACGACATTACTACTCATTACTACGTGGTAAGCATTGGTGATTGGTGAGTGCTAAAGTTGCTAAAGTCTATAGGTCCACCCGGCTTGCAAAACACAGCAGTGTCACAGTACACCATGGCAGGGGTGCAGCTTGGTGCCAAGGCAATCTGCTCGCACTGCACCTTTGTGGTACGCCTACGCGCAGACCGGCGAAGCCAGAACTCTGTTTACGGTTGTGGTTGGCGGCATGCGTGGTGGAAAACTCCACAGCATGTCCATTTCGAGTTGGCCGCTTGGCAACGAAAGGACTCAGAGAGATCCAAGTGCGGAGAAAAAGTCATGGTGATTGCATTACAATCATCACATGATTTACATGGAAGTAGTTTGTAAGTTATTGTATGTCGTCGACAAACACTCTAGGTGCAGGTACAGGTTTGTGTCGCTCACTGCTGAAGGTATGTATGTGTGATGATTTGAACCACAGGCTGAGGCTCAGTGCAGTAGATTCTCTAGCCCCAACACTGTTTACATTTGCCCTTACATCCACCAGACAGCCATGGGCAAGGGCGGAGCAGGCAAAGGCGCAGCTCCAAAGCGGTGGCCAAGAGTTCTTACTTCTGCTGACGATTCTTGGTTGCCTTGATTTGCCTTGATTTGCCTTGATTTGCCTTGGCTTGTCAGGCTTGTCAGGCTTGTCATGATGACTTCATTCATCTTCATTCAGCATATTCAGCTCTATATTCAGTCAAGCTGTGTTGGGAATTGGGAGCTTCAATGAACTTCCGGCATCGCATGGAGTCACAACCAAGGCAGCCCCAAAACAGAAGGATCCAGCCACTTCCCTGCCAGTGGACCGGAGAGAGGCAGGGATGACAAGGGCTGCTTGGAAGGCTTGGATGTAGGTTGATGTTGCCTGATTTTGATGGAGACCGGGCCAGCATCCCTGATTCTTCAGGAGCCCTTTCTCCTGAAGCAAGCTATTTTGGAGGCCTCTTTGACTCGTTCATCTTTGAGACACCGAAAACATCTGAAAGCAGAGACAGGTGATGACAGGTTATCAGCAAGCCACTACTGTCTTCCCTGTGAGGCATCAACCTGGAGTGCCGCTATCCAACCTGCCAGCCCAAGGGGGCAAACTCCGACAGCAATTCTGCAAGCCATTTTCTCCGATGAGGAGATAGCTCAGTCTATATCCAGCTACTTGGAGTGATAAGATATTGTGAAAGAAACGGACTTGAAGTGTCGCAAAGTGACAGTCTCCAGGATAGTATACTATAGTATGGTTGTGTTGCCAGACCCAGGCATTAGATGAGAGCACAGATCCTGCCAGCCACATGATCTCCAATGGCCGATATCGACTGTGATCGGAGTGTTGCCTAGTACGACTGATAGCTTTCATGCGGTTTCAAGGATTTTTGGATATCAACTTGCATTTTAGCTATTTGTATAGCTTTTGTGCCACTTTAATCATTTTATATAATTCATTTTGATTATACCATATTAATCCCAGTGTCACATCTTGCATTTTTTATAGCTTTGGTTGTTGCACAATCCGTTCCCCCTAATACTAACCCCCCCAAAAAAAAGTAATAAACACCTAGGGGTATTTATTAGTAGGGTGCTAAGCTTCCCCCTAATACTAAATTAAAAGCCCGAATATATAAAAACGTTTTTTCTATTTCAAAATCGATTAGATTTCCTTTTATAATCTAATTGAAAGTATTGAAATATTGCCAGAAATTGGATTTCGAAGCTTTCCCCTAATATTAAATAAAACACCCTATATATATAATATATATATTTTATATATATATATATATTTCAAAATCGATTAGATGTCCTTTAAAAATCTCATTAGAATATCGCCAAAAATTTGACTTCGAAGCTTTCCCCTAATATTAAATTAAAAACCCTAATAGAAAATACAGTTTTTCGACCTTAAAAGACGGACCCTAATAAAAAAAACACCCCGGGGTTGACTAGTTTTTCCCGAGAGCGTCTGAGCGCAGGGTTCTTCCAATAGTGGGGGTCTGTATCTCATCTTCTCATCTTCACACCTTCTCATCTTCACATCAGCTCATCTTCACATCTGCTCATCTTCACATCTGCTCATCTTCACATCTTCTCATCTTCACATCTGCTCATCTTCACATACTCACATCTTCACTTTCTCTCTCTCGCACTCACATCTTCACATACTCACATCTTCTCTCTCTCTCTATCTCTATCTCTCTCTCTCTCTCTCCTCTCCTTCTCATCTCCACACCTTCTCTCACACCTTCTCATCTTCACACCTTCTCATCTTCACATCTGGTCATCTTCACGTCTGCTCATCTTCACATCTGCTCATCTTCACATCTTCTCATCTTCACATCTGCTCATCTTCACATACTCACATCTTCACTTTCTCTCTCTCGCACTCACATCTTCACATACTCACATCTTCTCTCTCTCTCTCTCGCTCTCTTCACATCTCACATCTTCTCTCTCTCTCTCTATCTCTCTCTCTCTCTCTCTCTCGCCTTCTTTATCTTTCTCTCTTTAGGCCGAGGGTGGTGCCGGCGGGGAGTCACGAAACGTCAACCATTTCGCACGAAATGAGGGTCGATCGTCAAAAACTGAAGGAAAATTGCGATTTTACTTGCCCCCGAGCAACCATTTCGCACGAAATGAGGGTCGATCGTCAAAAACTGATGAAAAATTGCGATTTTACTTGTCCTGGAGCAACCCTTTCGCACGAAATGAGGGTCGATCGTCAAAAACTGAGGGAAAATTGCGATTTTACTTGTCCTGGAGCAACCCTTTCGCACGAAATGAGGGTCGATCGTCAAAAACTGATGAAAAATTGCGATTTTTTTGTCCCCGAGCAACCCTTTCGCACGAAATGAGGGTCGATCGTCAAAAACTGAGGAAAAATTGCGAGCTTACTTGTGCCGGAGCAACCCTTTCGCTCGAAATGAGGGTCGATCGTCAAAAACTGCGAAAAAATAACGAGTTTACTTGTGCCGGAGCAACCCTTTCGCACGAAATGAGGGTCGATCGTCAAAAACTGAGGAAAAATTGCGATTTTACTTGTCCTGGAGCAACCGAGGGTCGATGCGCAAAAACTGAAGTAAAATTGCGATTTTACTTGTGCCGGACTTGTCTGTGTGTAAAAGCGTCTGTGTGTAAAAGCGTCTGTGTGGTCTCTGTGTGTAAAAGTGTTTGTGTGTAAAAGCTTCTGTGTGTAAAAGCTTCTGTGTGTAAAAGCGTCTGTGTGTAAAAGACTGTGTGCAAAAGCGTCTGTGTGTAAAAGAGTCTGTGTGTAAAAGCGTCTGTGTGTAAAAGCGTCTGTGTGTAAAAGCGTCTGTGTGTAAAAGTGTTTGTGTGCAAAAGTGTTTGTGTGTAAAAGCCTCTGTGTGTAAAAGCCTCTGTGTGTAAAAGCGTCTGTGTGTAAAAGCGTCTGTGTGTAAAAGCGTCTGTGTGTAAAAGCGTCTGTGTGTAAAAACATCTGTGTGTAAAAGCGTCTGTGCGTAAAAGTGTTTGTGTGTAAAAATGCTTGTGTGTAAAAGCCTCTGTGTGTAAAAGCGTCTGTGTGTAAAAGCGTCTGTGTGTAAAAGCGTCTGTGTGTAAATGCGTCTGTGTGTAAAAGCGTCTGTGTGTAAAAGCGTCTGTGTGTAAAAGCTTCTGTGTGTAAAAGTGTGTGTGTGTGTAAAAGCGTTTGTGTGTACAAGCTTCTGTGTGATTCTGTGTGTAAAAGCTTGGTGTGTAAAAGCGTTTGTGTGTAAAAGCGTCTGTGTGTAAAAGCGTCTGTGTGCAAAAGCGTCTGTGTGTAAAAGCTTCTGTGTGTAAAAGCTTCTGTGTGTAAAAGCATCTGTGTGTAAAAGTCTCTCTGAGTGTTTGTGTGTAAAATCGTCTGTGTAAGAGCGTCTGTGTGTAAAAATCTCTGTGTGTAAAAGTCTCTGTGTGTAAAAGTCTCTGTGTGTAAAAGTGTTTGTGTGTAAAATCGTCTGCGGGTAAAAGCCTCTGTGTGTAAAAGCCTCTGTGTGTAAAAGCCTCTGTGTGTAAAAGCGTCGTCTGTGTGTAAAAGCGTCTGTGTGTAAAAGCGTCTGTGTGTAAAAGTCTCTGTGTGTAAAAGCGTCTGTGTGTAAAAGCGTCTGTGTGTAAAAGAGCCTGTGTGTAAAAAGCGTCTGTGTGTAAAAGCGTCTGTGTGTAAAAGCGTCTGTGTGTAAAAGCGTCTGTGTGTAAAAGCTTCTGTGCGTAAAAGCGTCTGTGTGTGTAAAAGTCTCTGTCTGTAAACGTGTTTGTGTGTAAAAGTGTTTGTGTGCAAAATCGTCTGTGTGTAAAAGCGTCTGTGTGTAAATGCGTCTGTGTGTAAAAGTCTCCGTGTGTAAAAGTCTCTGTGTGCAAAAGCGTGTAAAAGCGTCTGTGTATGAAAAACTTTACAAAAATACGATGCAAACTATTGTCTTGTACTAGTCATATATTGTCTTGATACTACTCTTCTCGTCTGCCTATAATACATCTTTAATATATCATCTTGTAATATATAGTGTCTCCATACTAACAACAGAAGACTCTGCTCCTCTTACGCTCTCGGGCCATCCGTCGTCTAGTTATTATTAGGGGGTGAAACCCACAAATGGTCGCTTCATTTTTAAATTGTTTTCTAGAGCAGTTCAATTAAAAGTCAAATTGGCCCTCAAATTTTCCAAAATTGGAGACGGACCCTAGTTGTTATTATATGTGTTATTATTTGGGGGGGGTTAGTAATAGGGGGAAGGGATTATTTGTGTCCCAGTGTCAGGTCTTTTTGAATCCCAGGCCTGACACCCAAAGCTGCAGCTGTCGATCATGGGCCATCAGGGGAAATCGATGTCCAGGTGCTCCGTATGTCAGGAGTTTCAGCAATGCTGATGCATTTGGCGTCGAATCCAAGTCCTGAGAAACAGTCTGTTGATTTTTGTTGTGTGGGTTTCCTTCATGTTACTTTCAGCACTTGAAAATTATTCATACCTATTCTGTATTCTTCCCTGGGCCACTTGACAGTTCATGCTATTTCACTGGGAGGAGATTCAGCCTTTGTTGGCATCGTGGATACAGATATGACCGTTGCAGAATTCAAGCAGAAGTTGCAAGCAAACACCGGCATCAATGTTGGCTGGCAAGTCCTTTTGCTAGGCCTGGTCAAGGATGTTGACGTAAAATGACGTACTGTAAATGCAAAACAAATTTCAGACGCCCGTATGCCATTAATCTTCAGAGAATCCCTTAGGTGTTTTCTATATACAACTATATTACATTATATATATGTAATTATATATAGTATTTTTGTTATTATATTTATATATAGATATAGTGTATCTCAATATATTTCATAGTTTCGTGTGTATTTTGGTTTGTTTCTTCTTGGCACAGCGAAGTCAAACTACAGCCCCAGAAAATGGAAACGAGCGGACATGTTTTGTTTTCAAAAAGTATGTTCTCCGTGAGTCTGGTTGAAGCAGACCTGCCTACTGTGATCTCGTACATGCAAAGGAACCTTGGGGATATCGATATTATGTATTCGTGAAAATAGATTGAAATACAGCGATTTGCCGCGATGGTAATTATCAACATTACTGCAATATCTGTAATATACTTGTAGGTATGTTTACAGTATGTAGTCTGATTGACTTCCTTCAAACTTTGCTATGCAGTCCTTGCCTCAAAATGGCACAATAGATTGACTTTGACCGTAGTTCACTCTGTTTCCGTGTCCAGTCCCTTTATCAATCAATATCAATCACCACCTATCACCACATGCCCTTGGCACTGTTTTTGCTGCTTGGTACTGGGTCATCCCATGATGTCAGGCGATGGACGCGAGCTGGAGAGTGAGCAGAAGTTGGCAGCATACTCTGGCGAAAAGTTGGAGAAGTTGGATCTTCAATTGCAAGTCTTCAAATTCCGGGACTTGTGCCGTGCCGCAGTCAGCACAGACAAATATGGTGCAACTTTATCTTTACTGCAGGAGGCACAGCGAGGTGACTATGCGGTCTCCTGCGTGGCTGCCTACAACTTGGGTTTGAAATGTTCGGAATCGGAACATATCATTTCGTTACAGTTGCTCGCGCAGACACTGCCACTGCAGCCTGCTTGCCAGCTGGTCGTGAATGCCATCGCCACGTCCTCGGCGGGACTCCGACATCAAGCAGCGATTGAGTTTGCACGGATCTTTCATGAAAGTCCCGAGAGTGCAGAATGCTTGGAATTGGCCTGCAACAAGGCTCTTGCCGCCAATTTTTCCAGATCTGACTTGGCGCAGAAGCTTTTCCATCACCTGAAAAAGAGAAAATTCCCTCCGCGGCCTGTCCCGTACTCTGGCACTCAGATTTGCCTGGCACACCGGGATCCAGTGACAGTAGGTCGAGAACATTTGGCAAAGTACATAGATTTTGCCAAGTCACTGCCAGCTGGCTGGCATTACAAGACGCTCACCCCAATCACCCAGGGCTTTGATATTGAAACACACTTGAGAAGAGAAGCGCAGGAGGCTGCAACCAAGTCAAACATGGATGTTTCTCTCATATCAAAGTGCCTCACATGGTCTATGACTTCCAGTTCAGCTGGGCGCTTTGTTGCCGTCGCTCAGCAGAATCTTTACTGGCGGTGGGGGCAGTATAGGTCCATTGAATTCCAGTGTTCGCAATGTGTTTGCACATGTTCTCTATCATCTAAGCGATTAAGTCACTGCAAGCCAGGTATTTCTGGAACCTTCTCGCCTATTTGCGGAAAAGAATGAACAGATGTCAGACGCGGACATCTTTTGCGGCATTGCTGAGCACCCACGAATACCGGCCGAGTTCACCCGGATGGCCTTGGAATGTGCTGCTCGCTTGTCAGGCTGGTCATGGCTTGTCAGCTGTTCAGTTCAGGTTCAGCTGACTGGCTGCGAAGTAGCGTCCAGAGCTCGAACAGTTCCTGAGACCTTGGAAACCCACGACTTGAACTTGCAGTCTAAATAGATCCAAATAGGAAAATGCTACTGTAAGTAAGTCATCAGATAGAAAAAGATGAGAGTATCATGTAATATCCCCGTTCCAGGGCATGGGCCATCCTTGCACTGTGCTGAAGCTGCTGGATGAGCAGAGCAAAGACAGAATTTGACAGCCGAGGGCAGAGATGGGGTATGATGGGGTATGATGGCAAGACGATAAAGTTTCTCCAACATTCAGCATGTTCAACGCATATATGCACAGGTCGGAGCCATAGAAGGGCGCTGGCAGCTGCATGCTGGTGTGCTGGTCACAAAGATGCTGCAGTTCGCGAACAGGCACTGGAGGCGAGCTCATGGCCATATTAACATTCGAAAAATACTCGCAGTAAAGTGTGAACAATATGAACATGCAATAACATACATGGCATCATGGTATGAGCAGGTAGGATCAAGTAGGATCATTGGGAGCAAAGGATAGCAAAGGTGAGTCATGTTTTCTACATGTTTCATCATTTTTCTGCCATGCCTTTGCATTTGGTATGCCCAGTACATGCTGGGAATGCTCCACTCGTTGGTGCAAGGTACTGCAGTGTGTGGGCCAGGCCTGCGCAATGGGAAACATTCAAACATATTCAAACGCTGTAAATCACGATCATGATTCATCATGATCCACTGGGATGGCAGCATCACGGCTGCAGTATATAGTCCAGGTATGTCCAGGTTCATTTGCTGCAGCCTTGTCCTTCCGGGCCCGGGGTTTGGACACCTCTCAAATACGATTGCAAATAGTTTCAGTCTGGCAAGATTCATGCGCCTTTTTGTGTGGAGGTGGGCGACCTGCCAGCAATTCAAAGCATGCTGCAAAACTGGTGGGGCCCCGATTCTCGTCGAATCAGCCAAGAGATCGAACGTTTCTGCACCTGCAGCTAAAGTTCGCCGTCATATTCCCAGCATCCAGGAATTCGAATGTCCAGTCCCCAGATGTCCCAAGGGAAGTGTGCCAGATCCAAATGAATTCTAGATCAAACATGTACAGGCTTGAACAAATTTTGTGAAAGATTGGAGTCGAAGAGAGGGTGCTCAGCATCGTCCAGCACACCTCAGATCGACCTGATCTTGTGATATACTGGGGCTGGCCCAGTTCGTAGCACAAAGAGTCGATTCTGCTCGGGTCCAGATTAGTGCGAGCGAAAAGATCGGCGCACTGAGAAATCCACAAGAACGAAGTGAATTTCTGAGGTGAATCGCGCACGCTTTTGGGTTTCGTGTCATTGACACGTCATTGGAAAATGCTTGAAACATCCTTGAGAGTTCACATGAATCCAGTCAGAGCACGTTGCATGTTCAGGTGTGAAGCCAACAGTGCGCTCTGGCCCCTTTTGCCGACCACAAGCAGAAAATAGAAAAAGGATGAAAAAGGATGATAAGCTGCACTGCCACCAAGATCATTTGTCCACAAGAGTCAAGAAAAAAAAGGAGTCATTGGATGTGTTTAGTGAATAGCGTCTATAGACATGTCAAACGTATTCAAACGTGAATATTACGTGTAATATATATATATATATATGTGCGTAATTATGCGTATATTTATTACATCATCCAGCATCTCACTTTCTCACCCTCACTGACTCTCTCTCTCTCTTTTTCAGTGTACTATCTCTTTTCTTAAGGACAAATTTGATCAAAATTGTACAACTATTTTATTGAACTATCTTATAAAGTCTTATAATGCACTTATCATTTACACCGTTAAAGCAGGTCAAGTGTGTGCATCTGGGCGCCTTGCTGCAGGTGGCAGGATTTTCATCACTTTCCGATACTTTCGGTGCTGCTTCCGACTGGGCCGATTTGGCTCAAACGCCTCGTTGACGCTTAAAAAACCTATTGAGGTATGACCTAGTCGCAGAACTCGACGGGTTTTCGGGCGTCGACGTGGGACAGCAGGCACATGTCTTCAAAAAGTGGCAGTGGCTACAGCAACAGCAATGAGGCCAGATTCGATGGGGCCTTGGCTGTTTCTTAAGGTCATGTGCAACCAATTGCAACCATGTTTGTTCCTCTAGAGTGATACACTCAAGATCACTCAAGTCTGATGTCAAGCCTTGTCCAGCCATTCTTTGGGGGTGCCACCGCCACCTGGAGTCTCTACAGGCATTTGAATCATCAAGTTCGCAAGCAAGCTCGAAAGAAGAAGAAGAAGAAGTTGAAGAGGAAAAGACTGGAGAAACTGGAGAAGATGGAGAAGAGACCGTGCAGAAAGTGCTTGAATCCTACAAACTGGAGTCTTGGTGTTCCGTTTTTTGCTGCCGTCCCACCTGTGATAAGTATTGTTTAGTGTTTTCACCATTGTTGTGCAAGTTACATAGCCACACATTGCCCAGAAATGCTGGCAGAATTTTCTTCTGAGGCTGAGGCCATTGTTCCCAGCGTTTGATCACAACATATTCTACTAAGATCATCTAAGATCCATTGCATTCCATTGTAATTATATGTAATTATCATTCCACCTTCTTGACCTAGCAATCCCCAGAAAGATACCCCGCATCCATTTATATCCATTGTCATGATATGTCATGATACAATCAATCAATAGTTTTCTTATGTTTTCTTGGTAGTTGGTAAGAACGAGCTTTGTTTGGGTGGGCCATAATATGGCCGGAGGAAAATTGCTACGCGGTTTTTAGGCCTTCACTACTTGTACTGTGCTAGTGGAGTTCAACTGGCCCATTCAATATGTCTTTGCACTCATCGCGATTTGTTGTGTTTTATTTAAAGAGTTTTCGCCATGACAATGCCAACTTCTGGACATTTTCCTCCCAGATGACAACATCTACATATATATATATACATATATATACATAAATATCAATTGAAGCCAGATAAAGAACTGTACAGTTTTGTAGCCTCCCAGGGTGGCCCACTTTGGATGCCAGATTGATGAAGGTTGTTTTGGTTTGCCTTTTGCCAGGGAGGCAATTAGTTTTCTGTATAACATCATATTCTTATTCTTCTGCAGGGTAGAATAACTAGCTTGTAGTCACATCGTACATCGCATGCCCAGCCAAGGAGCGCTATTTGGAAATGGACGATACTACCTTTGAGAAGGCTCACTTTCCGAAAGATATAGCTAAAGCTGCTGCTTGCCTGCGTTTTGATGAATTTTGTGGAATGATTGGAATGGTATTCGAGTTGTGCAATACCCCGGCTCATCAACCCTCGTTGACAGCTTGGATATTTTGGATCACTGGATATCTCCGAGGTGTCAGAGATGTGGGACTCCTGGACCTGCGAGATCGGCTCCAGAGAAGCCCGTGGTGAGGCCTTTTACACAGCACTCTTCGATGCGGCTCCAAGTCTTCAGCTGATGTTCAAAAGCCCAAAGGCTGTGATGGCGTCTTGCATGCAAATTGTTGATGCCATTGAACAGCAAATAACGGAATTCGCTATGATGCACTCCAGGAGTATCATATGGGTAATTAATAGTAATTTTCTATTTATAATAGTTATATATAGTTATTTAATATGCATATAATAACGTGCGTCCTTATCACAGGAGTATCACATAAGTGAGCAATAATATGAGTATCATCGTTTTGCTACAATAATTCTGGGTCCTTGTTTCAAGTCGCACGGGCTTGTCTCAAGTCGTCCGGAAATCATGTGCAGCATGGGTTTGGTATGTTTCATGATGTTCTGCAATTGTCGTACATTGTGATTTGGCATCATTTTAGCCTCGTTTTGTACCGTTTTATTGTAATGTGCACCTCAGATTCCGCTGTTCGCACCCAAGTGTGCTAGTGGGGGCTCGCTCGGGTAAGCCAACCTCGCGCGGACGGGCATCGAAAGGTCGCGCAGGGGTCTTGCAGGGCTGCCGAAACTTCCAGTGCCACAACCACTGCCACACACTATGCGCAATGTCGCGGCAAGAGCTTGCAAGATAGCAGTTTCCACACGAAGCGTAGTGTGCCAGCGGCATATGCCTTAAAGATCCTATAGAGGATGTGTTTTTGCATGAGGACGAGCTGATGTTCGGAGGAAAGTGTACCCGGTTTTGATGATTTCTGGGTGACTTTTCGCGACATGCCTGACTCCCCATGCAGATGTTTGACTTCAGTCGGGCATGCCGCCATGCCCGACCTACGTTGGAACAAAGCGGCTTACTTGTTGGATCTGATTGGCATCCCCTGCCAGATCTGCCAGACTGTAGCGGAAGATTCTATGATATTCTATGATCATTTATGTGGAATTTATGTGTTAAAGAAACGGCTAACAGAAAAGCTGAGGCTATGCGCTTCGTGGAAGGGCTCACCGCTTTGGTCAATGCAATGGGCAATCCCACTACCCTCTTCAAAGAAGTTGAAGCACTGGGCTTCAGGCACCTGGACATCGAAATTACCAGCTTCTTGGTCCAAATATGTCCAAACATGTCCAAATATCACAAAGCACATCAAAGATATCAAAGCACTTAGGTATTGAAATCATGGCCTTGAGGCCCTGGCAAGTCTCCTCAGATCTCCTCGGCTTTCTTTGCGCTTTTTCAACCACAAGCTTCCAAGGTATCAGGGCTGGCTTTTTCAGAGAAGCTTTGATGGATACCATTGATGACCAACTCGGTGGGCAAGTTTCGATGCCAGCGAGGGCGGGCTTGCACTGCTTGCTGAACTATGCAGGCAGCATCAATAAAGTACGGTCGGCTCTGTTTCTACGTTTCGCTTGGTTCAACCACCGACCTGATCTTGTGCTTGAAGTACAGGGAAATACTGTGAGTGCAAAGAATTACAAAGATAAATATCACGAACAAGGGCTTCTCCACACTACAATGTTTCTTGTTACTTTGATTTGTCTCATTGGTTGTCCCTGTTTTGTTTCCCTCGGTTCCCCTTTTTTCTACTGTTGTTCTCAGTGTTGCTATTGATTTTCGATGGTTTTGTTTGTTTGTGTGTTTTGTTTGTTTGTTTGTTTGTTTGTTTGGTTGGTTGGTTTGGTTGGTTTGTTTGTTTGTTTGTTTGTTTGTTTGTTCATTATTTCATGTTAAATATCACTGTCACACAGCACTCCACTGCACAGTACACTGAATCTACTGTACTGCCACACTGTGGTTTGGCTCAAGTAACTCAACGGACGCTGTGAGACGCTGTGCGACTGCCTTGAGAGAAACTGAAGCTGATCGCTACTGCGCTGTTTGGTTGACTTGAAAGTGAACTTGAAGCTTCGCATTTCACTAGTTTCTCACGTGCTGCCACGCGTCTCTCGTGTTTGTTTGTCTCCCCTGCGTTTTTAGTGCACTTCTTGGAAGGTTTTGTGATTTCCCAATCGCCTCAAGATATACAATACAACACAGATGTGCCATGATGTGCCTGAACTTCCCTAAAAGTTCAAGGTTACCGGTTACCTTAAGTTCCTATGTCTTTTCCCTGCCCTGATGGTATTCTGGGATGTTCGAACACCCGGAAAAAAGGTTTGAACCCCTAGGCACTGGCAAATTTATCACGTTGGCTCCCAGTTTTCATTTGTTTTCCTTGTTTTATCGAATTTCATCTTTCCATTTTGCAATGTGGCACGTGTAAAATAACGCATTTACAATACGAACATGTTCACATATGGTTTAGGTATGTTCATATTTATTATATATATAAGATAAATTATTTAAGATTGTGTGTTTACATGTATTTACTGTAACGTATTCAACTTGATTTTCACCTGGTGCTGTCAAACATGTTTTGGCAGGTGCACTTGCCGCACTTGCTCAGCAAATAGCAGAGAGATCTGAACACAACCCCAACAAATGTGTGAGGGCATGAGCCCATGGCTAGTTGAAACTCTAGAAAAATATTGTCCAGATTCACACGACATCTCAGCACCCTTACGCTGTGGCAGGGGGTGCCTTTTGCTACATCCGGAGGGAGTATGCTGGCCGAATAAATACCATTGTGCGGAGTTGGAACGTGGTCCAGAAGTCGGCCATGGAGGTGCCAAGCTGCTTGAAACATACTGTGCCCAGCTTCGCCTGGGGTGCTACACAACAAATGATCATTCTCATTGACGATTTGTTCCAAGTGAACCTGATAAAGAAACGTCCTGCATCTTACGTTGAACCCTTTAGAGTGCTTGCTCGCTTGTAGCCAGGCATATTTGCAGGAGGACTGCTCTTCACGATTCATATTTGATTTCAGATTGCCACGTGGTGCCAAGATGTGCCAAGGTTTGCAGAGTGTGCCAGAGAATTTTGCCCAGGACCAAAACACCTTCGGGGATATAGAGGGAAACGAACCCGCGGAGAACGAGCAAAAGGATCAAAAGCAGCAGAAGGAGCCAGAAAAAACGGAGCAAAAAGCGGCACAGCTTGGCTCAGCTGATGCAAAGGATGAAGAGGTTTTGCCTGACGAAAAAGAGATGAAGGTCCCAACAACTTTCAACGAGATGCTTCTCTTCAATGCATCTGTGATGGGCTACGGCGCAAGCACATGGATGAGCATCGTGCTGGCACAGTTCGACGACATGGTCAGGAACGTCGCGAACTTCACCCGCTTGCAGGAGCAGTGTGATGTGATGTCCCTGGTGCTTGCCAAGTACAAGGGAAAGATCCTTCTGACAGAGTTCAAAGCGGTGACGTTGGCTTCCCTGCGGTCACTTCTGCCGCAGGAGTGCGTCGTTTGCTTATGCTACTTTGCCTACTTTGCTGTTGTTCGAAACCTGGAGATTTGTCATATTTTGCCAGGATTGGGACTCTGAGCATGAGGTCGCCTGGGGTTGGCTTTGGGAGAACATCGAGGGACTCCTGGGTTCAATGCTAGGCCTGCCGGCGTGACGCATTGTTTTTAGACTTTCCGAGGGCTGTCAGGTTATGCGACGGCACTTGCAGCTTGTAACTACTTGTTTTGCTATGCTGTGCTGTGCTTGAGCGAGGCAAGACATCCTGGGACTGTGATTTCGGATTCTACATGCTTGCCTCTTGTACCCTTGCAGGCAAACCGGCCCTGCAAGAAAAGGCATTGGAGCGCTTCCTATCCAACCTCAGTGAAGAGGCAAGGTCTGCATTCACATTGTCGATTTGCGATGTTTTGTGCGGATGTGACGGGAATGGCGGGATTTGGAATAACAAACTACATACCCTCAACTACTTAAGGATCTTAAGGTCTAGAGTGGCCCCCCCCTTGAGGGTCAAGGGTCTGGGGGTCTGAGCATTGTAGATGTTTTTTAAGACCCTGTAATTAGGCCTTTTGAGTTTTTGGGTCTTGAACCCCGCTTGCAGGAGGTCATGATTTTATGGTCCACCGTCCACCATATATCCCCGCCTATCATGTGGTTGGAAGCAGATTCTGAAAGAGAGGTTCTGGAACATGGTCAATTTTCAATTGTTTTTTGCAAATCGATCACCCATACATTTGCATCCGGGACATGTTGCGCGAAAATCAATCTTAAGCCATGCCCTGGGTTCCAAATCCTGCAAACATACCATACATACCTAAAATTGGGAGAGACACTGTCAGAACCATTTCCTATTGATTGTTGGCAGTGAGGCGGTGAGGATACTCTTTTCAAGACTCCCTGAAATATGCGAGGACAATTCTCGGTGATTAGTCTTGTTGTTCACGCTCTCTGAATATTGTGCAATTTGTTTACTGGCCAGAGGATAAAGGTTGATCATAACTCTCCTCATGGCATTCTGACTTCAAACAGCCCCAGCCCAATTTCCAAACATCCAGCTGCCAGCATTTTCGGGGAACCATCAGTCTGCGCTCTCCTGTGGTGCAGCCTTACGCACATATTTTGCAAACATTTCGCGGGAGCTGAATTTCACTTCACGAAGACTTTGTTTTATTCTACTTTCGCAGAGGTTTTGAAGTTGCTCGTCATCATTTGTATCTTCCCCCTCAGAGCGTAGCGATTTGTTTTCTGTTTCTTGGCCTTTCTCAAACGAATCGAGACTAGAAAATCCGGAAATGGCAAACAAGAAATGTGTGGATCTCACCAGTAGGCCCAAGTGCACCTTCCCATCTGTGTGTCCCGGAGGTTTTTCATCTGCTTTTAGCCCGTCTACAACAAATGATAATTAAAACAAATCAGTGGCGCGCAGAAAAACATCACGCATACGATTCATGTAAAAAGTGTAACTCCAGCGCTTTGCATGTGCCTGTTCAAGCCCTCATGCTGTTAGGTACGGAAACGGCTTCAGACCCCGAGGGCTGAAGGTCTACTTCAATCTAACATTTCTATACATGTCTTATGTTTAGCTTAGCCTCCTACAAAACCAGTAAAGACTTTTAGGGTCTACACTGTCGTAGCCAACCCCCCCAAGTAGCTGACGGTATCAAACTACGAGGATCTACCGTATGGTTCCTGCAGAGTCTGAGGGCAGGTCAAGTCTTGTCTGGAATGATTCCCCTTCATGTTTCTTTTGCATCGTGGTTTACATGTCTTTACATGTCTCTACATGTCTCTACAATCTCCAAGTCTCTTCATTTCTCTGGGTCTCTTCCAACGAGACGCCAAAAGCGTTGACTTTTGCCAGGAATTGCGAAAGGTGGGCTCAAGTCTCTTCCCATCATTCTTCGATCTTGCTCCAGCTGGGCAGGACCGCGTCTGGAACGTGAAAGTGGCATTGAGATTAGGGATTTAGGGGTCCTGAGATCACTATATGTTCGATCTACACCTGCAGCTGTTGACAACAAAATGACACAATATCACGTAGAAATATGTAGAAATAAGGGGAAGAAATGTCCGTTTGTGCCAACCTACCAGGCGGAGAACCGGGGAGTCTAGTGAAAGTTGTATTTTGAATCCTTTTGATGACAATGATGGCAATCCGTGAAATTTGCTTCGTGCTGGACAAGGATTGTTCGTGAAATCCTGGGCTTTTCTGCAAGTCACATACATGCGCATATAGTTGGACATGCCTGCACACATTGTTCGGCGTACCATTTGGTGGCATATGTTTCATCGTCTATGCATGATGAATCATGATGAATCCAGATCTATGGTCCATGAATCATCGCCGTTTCTCTGAAGGACTTCCTAAAGCAGTCAGCCACGCGCATCAACTTCATTGGAGACAAAGTGGTGGCGATGACCTTGGAGATGTACCGTACGCCACGGCACATGGTTGAAACCCTATCTGCCCTGGGCTTGCGGCATGTGGGCTATGCGATACCCACCGAAATGCAGCTTGGCTCAGGTGTCCTCGGTGTCCTCATATCTTCGTAATTGCAGAGTTTAGTTTTTATTTGAGGGAAAATTGCCGTAGATGTTCCCTTTATATCCTTTATCCAGACTCTGCAGACGAACATTTTATGTTGATTCTGCATGGTCCTGCCTTCATTTCCCGACGCTTCCCCCATTTACTCAGGTTCCCGCCCTTCGTTTCAGCGGCTGTTGCTCTCTTACAACGCCACAGCACTGATGAGCCCTTTGGTAATGTACATCTTGGTACGATTTGGAGGGATTTGGGCTTGTCATGACTAAAAATATTGGGAACACCCATGAAAACCCCTCAATCCCACAATCATCATGGTTGATCATCAGCGATTATATAAAGAATTGTCAGATTTTTGGACGTACTTATATACAGTATTTGTTAGATTTGCAGCAAGTGCAGGTGTGATGAGTCATAGATTGCGAAGGCTAGTGCCCTTGTCTTTTGATGCACTGAGGATCTTTGGGGGGTGATTCAAAGTTGAAAACGGAGTATTGATGAGTTTTGTACGTTTGAATGTGGGTATTCTGAGGTTGGTCGTTGAGGCTTTCAGATGGTCTTTGGCATTGATTGCCAAGATTTTGGTGAGGAGCATAACGGAAGGATCTACCTTGGCCACTTGGCAGAAAGGCCGCAAGGCCACACTGATTTCAGATGGCCGGGGCGCTAAACCCAGCGATTTTTCCTGCAGTCAAGCTACGACTTGCTCTTTGTGGACTTTTTATGAATGATATTGAATGATATCCACAAGATATGGAAAAACAGAACATGTTCACAAGAAAGACTGTCCATTTGAATGGAGTCAACAGCAGCTTTGCTGATTTTCATCCCTTTGCTATAAATAGTGACAGGATGTGACAGGCAACTTCGTCTTCAAAGATACTGTATGATACTGTAGTGTACTGTAGTGTGTATATAATATATAATATATATACATATTATAGTATATATACATATATTATATGAGTGTCCGACAAAATTATTAGCAATTCCAGCACCGATACCCCTAGATTCCAGCAAGTTTCCACAATATTCCGCAGTAGGCTGTTATAGGGTGTTTATTTCTACAGCAACGGCTACAAACAAAGCTTTAAACAGCTACCTCAACCACTACTCCTCTTCCTTCTACTCCTCTTCCTTCTACTCCTCTTCCTCCTACTCCTACTCCTACTGCTACTGCTACTGCTGCTGCTACTCCGACTCCTGCAACTACTACTACTACTACTCCTACTACTACTACTACTACTCCTACTCCTACTACTACTACTACTACTCCTACTCCTACTCCTACTGCTACTGCTACTGCTGCTGCTGCTGCTGCTGCTGCTGCTACTGCTACTGCTACTACTATTACTACTATTATTATTACTACTACTACTTCTTCTACTTCTACTTCCACTTCTAATTCTACCTCTACTTCTACTACTACTACTACTAGTGGTACTACTAGCAGCATTTGCTACTGGATGTTATCAAAGAGCAAACATATTCATATCCGAGACCCAGTTTTGCTCGTGGCAATTGCGAGGAACAAATATTATATATATATATATGTGCATGTGAGTGATTGTGTATGTGTGTGTGTGCGCGTGTGTGTGTGTGTGTCAATATCATCATATTTACAGCCCGCGTGAAACTGTGTTGAATTCCTTGTCATCTGGATTTGGGCACACAATCCTGTGGATAGATACATGCAAATCCAAGTTCACTATTTTGCCCTACCAGCCCTCAGGTAATGAAGGCAATCAATACCAACAACAAGCTCACCTTGATGAAGGCATCCCATGTTGCTGGTTCGATCAAGGTGAACAGAGTTTTGGGCGAACCATTCTGCGACAAGACTAGAACAAAAGCAGAAGGCAGAAAACTTGAGAATGAAAATGGTTTGAATAAGCTCAACTATTCGATGTGGCAATCTGCAGTTAGACTACAGTAGTTTGCGCGGAAGGCAAGCCCCAAATTGCATTGGCTAGCAGCTGGCTATGAATCAAGGGTTTGACACGCGATGATTGTGACCTGTTTCATCCTGTTTCCACATTGACATGCGAAGAATTTGAAGGCCATGGATGTATCTTCAAGAGGAAACTTGGCATGCAAGCAAGTAAAGATGAGGGGACTTCGGAGCATCCAACTGTCATTCCAACTTCCAACATTCCTGACATTCCAACGACAACCTGTCGAGGTCAACGCGCCAATGACTTACTTAGCATCACAGTGGGCACTCAGTCAATCTCACCCTTCTACTGGTCAATTGACAGTGGTGCCTTTGGCGCAGTACTGCTAGTGTTTTTGGGATTTTTTGGGCACCTGACTCATGGTTTGATATGAAGCAAAGCTGGTAGGTCTAAGAGGTGTCAGGACTATCAGGTCATGTCAGGTCTAGTTAAACCTTGGCGCTTTTTTGCACCATGTGCCCACACCCACACAGTGACCTTTGTCAGAAATCACTCAGTCAAGGTGCCCTGGTGTGTGCACAGACAATTCTTGAAGACTTGCTGACCATCCGAGCAGACCGTTGCGGCCTTAACAAGGAGTGACCCAGGAGATGTTTGCAATTCAAGGACCGTTCCATTTATGATGTTGTGAAATGTCATGAGTGCATGCTAGACTTTGCGGGTTTCTGAAGCTGCAAGTAGTTTGTCCGCAGAGAACTTGCAAGGTGATGTCTACTACTATGGTTGTGACAATCTCTTCACTCGTCACCCGGAAGTGATCAAGAGAATTTGCGTGAGCGCTCCATCATTGCTTCCAACTTTACTGGACGGCTTGGTGTGGCGGTCGCGACAGACGAAAGAAGGCGGGGAGATGGAACTGGAACGACACACAACGTCATGATGTGCACAATTTGTCAAAAGTTGTGAGGCAATGCAGGATAGATCCCGATAGGTACTGTATGATTTTTTGTCCACTTAGACATTTCAGACATGCTTTATAGCTGGCTCCTTCAACTGTTCGTTCCAAGCGATGGGCTGAATGCTGAGCCAGGAACAGTTTGTTGTACAGGATGCATCAGGATGGAGAAACTACAGTAGTTGTCTGAGGAAACCCTACAGCAGGTAATGATTGCTGTTGATTTCTTGTTGCTTTGCTGAGTTGGCATGGGGGTTACCTTTGTCAGCAGGTATGCGAAGGGTAAACTATTACGTGAAGCACTTGATTCAGGACAATGACTTGCCTAGTCCTGCAGACTTGTTGCCACATTGACAACATTGACATATTTGTTTTAATTCTTGTGCGCTTCAGTGTGTTAGCATTGTTCGCAACTGCAGGATTTGGAGGGCAATTTCAGCCCGAACTTGGAATGTTTGGTGACTCACGGAGACCCGAACACCATCAGACATCCAACTGTGGTGCTCTTTGCTGACATCTTGTGGCACAAGGTGGCAAGCTTCAAGTTTGTGGTCTCAAAGCTCTTCTCAGTCTTCATCCTGATCGTTTTTATCTTCGGACAAGCCGTGTTGCTTCGCCACAACACCGAACAAGCACCAGAAGAAGAGTACGCAATGTTTGCCTGCCGTGTGGTCAATTACGTGGGAAGCCTGAGCAAACTCGTTTTCAGTCGCTTGGCGCCCTGAATGGAGCGTTTCAATGTGCTGAGCAGGATCACTCATGCGCTATATATATATATATGCATGCTATATATATATATTAGAATTATATGGACAAATAGTTTTTTTTGGTCCGTTCACTTTCTTCCCTTTCTTCCTCGTTGCTGTCTTTCCAACACACGGTCTTCCGCTTTACATGCTCTTGTTTTTTGTCTTCGTTTTCTCCTATTCCGCGTAGTCATCCTTCCCATTCCGTCCCTGGTTTTGCTCAGTGCCGCCTCTTTGCGACATCCAGCGATGAAGAGGGCTCAGACTGCCCATGAAAGGGTAAGTCAAAGGTGCCGTAAACTAAGCATGACGGACTATACCATCAAATTCGAACGAGCACCCAGTACAAATCAGATCAAATCAGTACAAACTGTTTTTCCTCTCCATATCCCACTTCCACACTCCTTTCCCACTGGAGAGATATGATATGGCATACGTTCGAGCTTGGCGCAGGTCCCACCAGGAAGCGCAATGCTTTGCAAGACCTGGAGATTCCTGAAAAGTTGCTGTAACATGCTGTAGAATGATCAAAATAACGGAATCTCTTGAACTTCCCCGGGCTGTGATTCAACGCTTCGCATCACGACCGGGTGATGTCTGACCTTAACTGCCCTGCCCCTCTTTGCGCTGGAACTTTAAGGCCAGCTGCGAAAGTTCTTCTCGGACTTGCAGAATCGCGACTATCGCTGGATATGTGGTATACCAGTGCCGGCATACCTTTTCAATATTCAAGATGCTGCAAGTTGCTGCTTGATGTGGCTGCTGGTGATCATGGCTATGCAGGCAAGTGGACAGTGTGGATGAACCTCAGGCAGTGTTTTTTCAATTAAGCACAATCATAATTAATGATAATGTATGATAATTATATAATGAATACTAATGATAACATAACATACCAGTAGTACGGAACAAGGCGGTGGCAGAAGTTTCAAGATAGGAAGTTATAGGAAGCTATATTAGGAGAGGTGAGTTGCTGTGATGCATGGATGGCAGAGCGAACCCACTGATGGATCGAAAGGTGGTTGAGGCTCTGAGTCTCTCTCTCCCTCTCTCTCTCTCTCTCTCTAACTCTCTCTGTCTCCTTCTCTCTGTGTCTCTCTATCTCTCTCTCTGTCTGTCTATCTGTCTATCTAGCTACCTCTAGTGTAGTGTAGTGGCATGTGCAGTTGTAGTTGTAGTTGTGGTGCAGCGCAATGCAATGTAATGTAGTGTGGTGTAGTGTAATTGTAGCCATTTGTAGCCTAGTGTAGCTGTGGTTATAGTTGTGGCTGTAGTTGTAGTTGTAGTTGTATTGTAGTTGTAGTTGCAGTTGTAGTTGTAGTTGTATTGTAGTTGTAGTTGTAGTGCAGCGTAGTCTAGGGTAGTGTAGTGTAGTGAAGTTGAAGCCTAGTGTAGGTGTAGGTGTGGAGTAGATTAGTGTCGCGTAGTAGTGTAGTTTTAGTCTAGTGTAGTCTAGTTGTAGCTGTAGTTGTAGCTGTCGTTGTAGTGTAGTGAGGTGTAGTGGAGTGTAGTGTAGTACAGTGTAGTCCGGCTCCTCTTCAAGCATCCCACTCCTGCCATTGTTTTAGCAACTGCCACAAGTCACTTTTTTGCTCATTTTTGGCAAGGTGCAGAACCCCTTGCGCCTGCTACAAATTGGTCCGAACATGTGGTGTTTTTAGCAGCGCATTTTGACTTGGAAACGTGCTTCGCGCCACAACAGCGCACACTTGTTCGACATCCAATTTCCCAAAAGCGGACCGCTTTTTTTGACTTGGAAATGTGCTTCGCGCCATGGCGGCGTTTCATTTCTTGCGCCGCTCAACTTGCAAAAGCGGTCCTATGCTGAGGTGTTTTGCACGTTTTGGCTTCGAAACGCGCTTCGCGCCACAGCCGCGTGCACTTTTTCGACATTTGAACTTCCAAAAGTGCTCCTCCCAACCTGAGGTGCGTTTGGCATTTTGACTCTAGAATCTGCTTTGCGCCATAATGGCGCGCAATTTTTCATGTCCTAATGGCTCCGCACCCGCCGCTTCAGCAGCTTCGCGACTTTTCTACCTTTTCGCGCGCCTTGATTTTCTCTCCATTGACTCTTTCTCTTCTGTCTCTTTCTCTTCTGACTCTTCTCTTCTCTGGCTGCTCTCACCACTGTTGCTGCATCTGCCCATAAGTCGGAAGTTTGACTTCTAAAATTCTTTCGGATATTGTGCATGTGCAATATGTAAGAACACAATATTCACAGCCTTTTAAATGCCTTTTCAACTAAATGACTAAATGGTATTTGTGGTTGTGACATGTTGTGAACGTTTTGTGCTTCAAGGTATGAACTGTCTCATGGACCTTTGCAGCAAGTTTGCACGGGTGATGTCACAGTACATGCCATGAATTGAAATTCTGGCCGCATCAGCAGATTTGCCAGGAACCATTCTTTTGGTGCTTGAGCGATGGGCAGGGGCTGACTCAAATGTGCCAAGAAGGGGAGGCAAGGATCAAAGGGGAAAAGAGAGACAGAAGCGTCATGTTTGTGAGCGTATCGTTGCATTGTAACTAACCTTGTTTTCCGGACAATTGTAGGGTACGGTACACTTGTTTCAGATTGCGATGGAGAGAGACAGAGGCACACCTGTTTCACAATTTGACAGTAATTCCTTGCTGGGAATGGGAGACCTGCAGTTCGCTGTGGCAATGCAAGCACCAACCAGTTCCTGTGACCCTCCAACCATCATCCACCCTCCAACCCTCAGGTCAGGAAGGACTTCTACTCTGCATGCACCTTTTTGGCCATGATTCTGTACTGGGCGTTGCTGATGGACTTGGCAATTTTCTCCATGCGAATTTCTGCCTATGTCTTGGTTTGCGGCCGGGTCACTGGAGAGGTCGCCTTGTTCCTTTCCGCTTTGCTTCTCCTTCTCCTAGCGTGCCTTGGCTGCATTGCTTTCCAACCTGCTTTGGAAGATTTTGGAATTTGACAATTCTTGGAAATTCATCAACTTGATATATACTGTATCATATGTCATAAATCGTTGGAGCTGGGGCATTATGGGCTGCATAAACCATGTAATATCATCTCAGTCGGAGCGGCACAGTGGCATAGCATGGCATAGCACGGCAGGTTTAGCACTGCAATCAGCTCCTTGTACCTGGAGATGCCATCCAAAGCCGGTGCGTTGGTTTGGCTTGAAGAGCTTACATCAATGAGCTTGAGGACTCCCGGGCTTGGGGTTAAAGTCCACTTTGGGCTGTGGAGCTGTTTGTGGCTGTCTCATCTCAATCCCACAAATTTCACAGGTATTATACTAGTATATGTAGATTGTTGTAAGTGATTGCACTGATTGAATTGACTGAAAGCTACAAGTCCCATGTCTGCAAACCTTGTTGTCCCGTACGCACTGATCCTGCCTCTGCCTTGAGGATGTACCCACAGGAGCACTATCAAGTGCTGGTGGCAGCATCTACCATCATAACTGTTCCGGTTTGTATTTTCCTCTTCATTGTGACGATTTTCTTGATGAATTTGCTGGTGGCTCAACTTACTCAATCCTACCACGATGCATTCTCGAACATGCAGGCTTGAGCTTAGTACGTCATGTGAGTCATGTGAGTCATTCGGTCAATCGAGCAGATGTTGATAGATTTTCGCAGCTTACATATATATGTTTACATAATTTTACATCGATCTATGTTGCCCTTTCGATGAACCAGTTGCGTGCAGGGCTACGCACGGTTAAACCGTGCCAGCGTCACGGCTGTCACAATCGCAAACGTGTCCCGCAAGAGATGGGCCCGCTTCATCCAGATCATGGCATTTGCAGCTCGGATCAACACTAATATTTTGTTAGTAAAGCAATCGTAAACCAGCCATATGGATTGACTGTTTATAGTTTATAGCACAATGATTTAACAATGGTAAAATTTGATAAACATTTGACATGGATTGCTTTCCATACATAGTTTCAAGAGTAAAATATACTGAGAAACTTCTTTCCCAGGGATTGCTTCACAGAGTCCGGAGATCCGAAGTCCGGGAGAGTTCGTTTGAGGATGAACCGATGGAATTCAACGAGGGTGACGACACTTAACCGCATGAAGTGCCCAAAAAAATAGCCTGAAAGCATATAGCATCATATAGCATGCTTGATTCAGTCTGAGGCTGGTTGCCTTTGACTGCTCATATGACATCATATGACTGCTCTTGAAATGCGTGCACATTCTTGCGCCCCTGCCACCTTGCCCATGCATTTGTGCGTGCTGGCCATTGTTTTGCTGTGCACAGGAGAGGCCACGAGTAGTTCTCCCTGCATAATGCTGTCATTTCCTGTCCCAATAGGTCGGGATTTTGCGAAGTGATGCAAACTGTGGTTTTGCAGAGGTTGCATGTGCTAAAGTCACGCAACATGCGTGAGAACCCCTCCTGCGGTGATGGGCTCGCCTTGGCCCTTTCAAATGGGTAGAGAGCCACAGATCGCGAGCTTAGGTGGGCCTGTCCGGTGGTATACAGGTTTTGGAGCCTTCGAATGAGCATCTTGTGACGGAGGCGGTGGTGCTGTTTGTCAGCGTCTGTGTGTGTGTGTAAATATGACAAAAGGTGGGTACCGGGGGGTACCGTATATTATCGTATATTATATATTATAATATATACCCTAGGAGTCCAACAACCTTTGAAACAAAGACCGTTCCCATAAGAACGTTTAGCTAATGGACGTTCGACTCAATTTTGGACATGGAAGAATCATCATATCAATATCATGTACTTATACTTCACACATCCACAAGTCCAAAGTTGCAATATGTGCAACTGATCCTTTTTTCACCACTTTTTGTCTGATGCCGAGCTATATCACGCACGATTCGCTTGCAACCTCCGCTTCGCGACCTGGTTGAACCTTAGCTTCTCAAACCGCGTCATGTGAATCAGGGAATAGAAATTAACTGCCAAGAACTTCCCTTGATCGAGAGAGTTGTCTGAGTTCAAATTGTTTTAAGTCCAGGGGCTTCTTGATTTTCCATTTCGCTCCAATGATCCTGGCAGTAAAATTCCAGCATGGGCTTTGTAGCAATATATAATTAGATAAGCACAAAAAAACATGATCCAGTTTTTGGGCCAAGCAAGCTTTGCCAACTGGGTCTGGTTGGGCTAGTTTCTTAAGGGTTCCATATGCCGTTTCAGAAATGAGCTGGTATTTGTTTCAAAGGTTGTTGGACTCCTAGGGTATAGACATGCACGCATGCGAAAAGGCACTCCTCAGCCTGCTGCAGCGCATAACCCACGAATATCTGTGATCAGGATGGCTTTTGATTGCGACCCCTGAGCATCCACCGAAAGGCTGAACAATTTGTAACATGTGCAACATAAAGGGCGCAAGTATTGGGATTCAGCTCCTATTTATTTATTTATCATATAGTTGTAATACCCATCATCAGATTTTTAGACAACAAGGACCTGAGACAAGCGCATTTCTTGAGTTAGATTTGCACAGCACACCCAGCTTGCGATCCCAGTGGCGTTTTAACCAAGACATTCCATCTTCATCTATAAAGCCATGGTGAAAACGAACATTGGTACCTGAGCCGAGCCACGGCAAGCAAATCGAGAGAGAGGGGATGTGGCCATGGTTGGAAAGAATTATATACAATGCAATAATGGGTAACATGATCACTACCAGACCAGATTCCTCATTGCAATCTGGGCGCGCTGGTAGCGTACCGTTCGAATCAAATGAATAAATGCCTTAGCCAATATGTCATGATCGAATGTGCATTTTAATGGAATGTTCTGGGTACTACTTTGGAATTAATGGTCATGTCCACCCACCAACAATTATTAATTAATACATTTCACGGATGCCATGTTGATTGATCTTAGGAAACACAGAAGCATATGTTTTTTTGCATACCAATGCAGGATCTGGATTTTGATCAAGTATCGTGGTACTTCGGACGTAGAATCCATTGCTGCAGCTGACTCCTGTTCAGAAGCTCATGCATATTGAACATGGGGTGAGGTTTGGCTTGTATGTGTGATATTTTTCTTGCAGGTAACAAATTCACCAGATAAAAAAAATATAAAAACAACACACTAAGGACCCTGACTGGCCTCACAGAAAGCTTCGTGAGTCGCAGGTACAACTTCAAAAAATTATGTCCAGCATCATAGATGGATTCAGCTTCCTCTTCTGACCTGGGGTTGGGGGTGCTTTTATTTTGAAGGAATTCAAGACTTGGGGACAGTCAGCCGACAAGACTTAAACATGAAATCAGGATTTCCACCAATGGCATTTTAAAGCTAAGGTTCAAGTATCTGCCAGCTTTCTCCAATAGTCCCAAGAATCTCGAAATGTGTCGCCTCAGTTTCACCGGCTGATTTGATACGGTGTTTTTGTATGAGATATATCCAGTACCAGTATTACCCAAGGATAATTCGATCTAAAATGTGGTGTTGATGAAATTCCAGGGGGCTGCACGTACAATAAGAACCGCCTCTGTTAATAATCATAATTTTATTTTATATATGTCTATTATTAGTCCCAGGCTGTAAATATATAATATACATCGCATGTACATGCTATATCTATATAAGATATATATATATATTATTTATATACATGCAGGCATGCATGCATAAAATAAATACGCATGTTGAGTCAGCGTGCTAAACACACCAAAAAAACATGTTGTAAAAGAAGTGCGTGTGCCATGCCAGTTTGTACTTGCACAGCATGAACGCATGTGCGTGTGTGTTGGTGTGTGCGAATAACGTGGTTTGCAAGGTTTGTGTGTATGAGTGCGATACATTTTGTGGAGCAAGCATGCATGCATTCATGTCAAAGTGATACAATGCATGTGCATGCATGCAAGGAACTTAAAAACCAACACAATTATGTGCACATACACATGCACATGATATATCAATTAGTCGCTAAAAAAAAGTACATGCACATACATGCACAGTATCGATACATGTGCCCCTGTGTATCATTCATGACGTGGTGTCAAAACATAAACCCTCGACCTCACTAGCTAAGTTTATTTATTGTTCAATTCAGACAATTTAGAACTTTAGTCCTGCCCATTTCAAAGTTGTGGACCTGGGATATATAATAATCACCAAAACTTTTTCCGGGGGTCAACAAAGGAACAAATGTCCAGCTCCAGGTTCAAATACAAGGGTCAATGCTCCAGCAATAAGGAAAACCCTGTCTGGGTCGTGAGCGCAATACTCTTCATGACGACTGGCTGTGTAGATAGTCTCTGACAACCATTCAAGTACACAACGACCATTGTACGCCTTCAGCGTCAATAGGATATCGCCAGTTTTCTTGTACAACTTAGTTGCAGTGGCTTGGGTCGGGTGTCTTTTCTTTAGCTGTGTGCGTGTGTTTTTTTTTGCAACGGGAGTCCCTTCCGCTAAAGCGAGGATGTAAAAACTGGAAAAACCAAAGATCCATTGATCCATTAAAAAAAACTATGTCCCATTCCAAGTTCTGAATATGTGCAAGGCACATGGGACTCTTTGAATTCTGGCTGCGAACACTGTATGCGATTTGCTCTGCAAAAAGCTCTGAAGTGTCGATAAGCCCTTGCCAACAACACTGGTCTGGAGAATTCCTCTGGGTTTCCAAAGTATCCAGCAGATAGCAAAAAGTGCCTGTTGCACAGGAAGGACTAAGAGGGGTGAAAAGGAGAAACAGAGAAAAACATGCAATGGAAATTCCACTTGGGTTTGTATCATCATATCACGATTGACTAATAAATTATCTAAGAGTAAAGAATTTCTTCGGCCATTAGCTGTCCTCCATACTCAAAGCTATTTTCACAGCCAAGAATCAAAGCAGAGCCATTTGCGTCAAACAAAAGGCCCAGGTGTAAGACGTGCATGAGGCACCAACGAACAACTGTCGGGTGAAAATTTTTCAGGCCGAGGAGTGGGCCTCAGTCTTGTCAGCTTCGCACGCAAATATATGATATATAATAATCACATGCGCGCGCGTTATTCTGCAATATTAGTAAGCTCCAATCCTGAGGGATGAAATATTCACAAAAAAAAAATCTGTATGTGTGTTTTTCCCAAAAAATCTACTCACTGTTGTTGTCAGCAACAAGCGTCAAATCCCATGCGTAGGCATCCTTTCCTCACACCATTCATCCAGAGTGAAGTTGCAGTCGTACCAGGAGCTTGTAGGCTCCAAGTTCCAAAACACATCTTTATAAGGACCAATCGACCTGGCTCTGCACCAGTGACAAGTGTTGTGGCCATTCCAGCTAGTGTCTTTGAAATGGAATATCTTCTTATGAAAGCTCCAGTCACCTCTCACTTCGGTGACCGCAAATTTGCGCCCCCCATCCAACACAATGTTCTGCCCAGCTTTCAGTTTCATTTTCCTGGGTAGTTCGAATCCCCAAGGGTCGTGCGACGGATGCACCCCTTCCCAAAGGCAGTTGAAACTCCATGTCAACCGTCTATATACTTTGTTCAGCGTGTGGTGTTTCCATAGTTCGCCTTCGCCTATAGCAAAGGCAAGGAAACGCGAAGCCCGCACGCTGGCAGGTCGCCAGTGCACCAGATTAAAAAATATACCTACCACATTGGTCACGCCAGCATGCGTAGTGATTTTGGCACCATCACCGAACACCCCCAATGGGATTCGCTCATAACTGTCAATTGTTTGAGCCCACGGTTCGCCATAGGCGGCATTGTGTTGCCAGTATCTCCGAATGCTTTCCATCGGAAGCTCCAATTTTGCTGTGTTGAACAAGTACGCGATCACTGTATGTGGGTCCAAAATTGGGTACTTTGCCAATTTGTATTTGGTTTGTCCATCTTCTAGATCCGTGTACTTCACTGGAAGTTCGATCTCCGCGAGTTCCTAACATGGCCGGTTTAGCTACAAAATAATTACTCCGTACTGCGCATTGCAATTTTTGTTCAAGATGCCATGAAGCTATAATTTAATACAAAATATTATAATATAATAAAATGTGAAGAAGGGCCATGTGTTGCATGCTGCACTACCTTAACCTTAGTAGTATTTTTTTTCTTTCTAAGTTGCTTGCAAAAACATATACCGATACCGAAACCGAGTTTCCGGTCCATCTTTGAAAGCACGCCACCAGTCCCGAGAGTTATTCTTCCCAGATAAGTTGCCTAACTTCCTGGTCATAGAATTTGGAACTTGACCCTGGGCGTCCTCGGCAGTGGAACGGCAGGAAAAACACATATATAATAATGATCTTATTTAAATTGCTGGGTGGCATTTAGTGCACATGCATGCACACGTTATCTGAACAACATTTTAAGATAGCAATTGCGTAAAAACACGATTTTTAGGGCCCAGAATCCAATGACCATCATGGACATGAAATATATGTGTTCCGTCGGGCTAGCTGTCCAGCATTATAAATTCGTTGGTCTTCGGAGGAAAAAACGGATAGCATATTTTATTTTAGAATCAGCTACAAGCAAACAAACACAAGCAGGGCTCAGGACACACAGATATTAAAATGATATTCCTCCCAGACAACCAGCGGGATCGGTTG